GCTGGAAAACTTGTAACTATTTCATTGTGACGCAGTATTAGTCAGGTATATGACGTCACTGATACATCAATGGAAACGTGGATTCAACCTGAATAATAGAGCCAATTTTTTGTAAATATTACGTTTGAAGGCGAAAATGAGTTCTATTTTGAAAATAAAGTAGTTATTTTTTGTTTAATAATTTTCTTTAGTGTATCGATTCTAAATATTTCACTAGGATTCCGATAAAAAGGTGTTTAGCAGAATTACCGATGCCACGGGAGATAACTCTTGCATCGCAAAATTTCATAAAAACGTCCGTTTATTTTGCCAGAAAACTACTATCAAAAGTGCTTTTCCCACCGATATTATTTTTTAAACAAAAACATGAAATATTTCTAGATTTAGTTAAATGTGAATTATAGTCCTGTTAAAAATGTACTAGAAATTACAGTTCTTTGTTTCTGACCTACATTTAATGGTTTATATTACAATTTACAGTTTTTCTTTTTAAAAATTTAAATATAAGTAGAATTTTAATAAATTGCTTTTTCAAAATTTTGTCAACGACTAATGGAATACACAAGATTTCTTAATGCCGACCAAAAAAAAAAAAAAAAAAAAAAAAAAAAAAATCAAAGTACTCAGGAGTACAGAGAGCCGGGCTCATTTATAGAGTAGAATTTTGTTCATGAATCATGCATTCATATTGTATAAACATATAAATAAGAATTTCAGAGACTGGAAGGATAATGTTACCAAACAATGCACAACATAATAATGATATTTAGAAAATAAGGGCTAAAGTGACATACAATTATCTTATTTGATTAAATAAATCCAGAAAAATACATATCAAAATATCAATATAAATGTTAAGACAATAAGTATATAGGTCCTAATACCATTTTCCGAATATCAGGATCAGAGTTTACCTGGCACCGCCAAATGTAAACAAACAAGCTAGTCTGGTTCCCCATCCTGCTTTTCTTCGCTACGATAGTTACATGAACATAAAAAAACCGAACGCAAAGAAACTTGTTGTTTGACTACGGACTGAAGTTTTCAAAGTCATTACTACTAATGTTCATTTGTATAAATAAAACTTCTTTTTATATTCTTTGCTTTATTTATCGTTTGTATTATCTCAAAAGCGTTTGATAGTAAGGACTATAATTTTGCACGCAACTTTAATTTGGCGACTATAAGGGGGACACTTCCTTGAACAAGCTGACATAAGCTGGTAATTGCTCTTTGAGCAATAAACCCAGCTAAAAACATCACGACCATTGAACAGTTTCAAATTAAGACTTGTACATGCACTCGGCACCAATATAGCTAAGTAGTGATGATTCTTTAACGCCTACTATGAAAGCGGGATCTTAATTTTTAAGGTTTCATTCGAAGGACCTATGACTTTCACTTCTAAGTGCGTTTTACTATCATCCAAAGGGACTGTCAGTTTGCCTTTTTTACGTCTTAAGTTTGCGACATGGCAGCAAACAAGAATCAAGATCACAAAAACAACGCCCTACTTACTTTCTTACCTTGACAAACTTTCAGGTTTTGAACTATAAAGATTCTCAAATTAAAGCTGAAGTTGCTTGAAAGAGCATTAAACGATTAGTGCAATCTCTTGTATTAAATTTAAATTTAAATAACCCGTATATATGTCAAGACACATTTATTATCTTCACAAAATTGGACTGTGAATGAATTAAAAAAAAAAAAAATCTTGAGCTTTATAGTTCCTGGTGTTACTGTGTTGTTGTATACATTGATTTCGTTTAATGTCCTCTATAAAGTTCTTTTAATAGATACTTTCAGATGAGAATAACCTTTTATGTTCGAGAAAGAAAGAATGCATCTATTGACTTGACTTTATTTCATTGTAAGGAGCTTTTAAGAGTAAACGTTTAAGAAGGAAATCAGAACTCAATGAAAATCTTCCTTGTAAGAAATCTTAACTAAGAAGAATATTGTTCTTTAATTTTTTCAGTTATATTGACGGAAACAATAAATTGAAGCATTAAAGAAACAGTTACCAATATCTAAATAAAATGAAGTTTTGTCCTCTCTTAATTTGGAAGGAGATGGGGTTGTTTGCAGAGTACAGATCGTTATTATACCCCCGCTTGAAAATTGGGAGGGTATATAGTAATCGGTATTTCCGTACGTCCGTCCGTCCGTCTGGTACGCTTTGGGGTACCCATCTCTTATCCGCAACTCCTCTCAGTGGTAGATTCTTAACTACATATTGCCATTGTGCACCTCCTATTTTACTTTTTGATCTGACATACATTTTTGATTTTCCAGAGCAAAACATGGACACTGCCATTATATTCATAATATATTCTTTTTTGGAAATCAAGAAATTAGAGGCTATAGAATACAATCAAAATTAAATTATTCCGTCAAGCACTGGAAAAGATTTATATGTCGTAACAGACAACGTATCAGAATATGCACTGTAAAGAAAACAGTAAAATGTGGATTTAATTCACAGACGGATTAAACAGTGAAACGGATTGTATAGGTTTCGGAGTAGACAGATTTCACTGTATAGCATTTTTTTTAATGAGCCCGAGTCTATTTCGAGTGCTCATGACGTTGCACAGCTTTTTAATTTCATGTGCACCTGTGCCATATATTTTCTTTTAATACTAAATAAACATTATCTGTAACGCTTTCTAGTCTGAAAATATGATTTTACGACGATTATTAGGGAAAAAACGCTAAAACAGCTCAAACAACCTCACTTCTCCAATTTTTTAAGCAATGCATGACGCTGAAGAATGACACGTGACTCGCCTGTATGTCTGGACGTTTATGGATTTTATACTTAAAACATATGACAGGACATCATGCGAAATACACTAGTAATCTTAACATTGTTATTTTTTACCAAATAGATTCATCTGCGCCGATAATTCATCTGCACCGATATGTATTTATACCGTAACATGGCAATTTTACAGGTATTGGACCTTGAAAAGAAATAGTAATTTATTCCTAACAAACGGTGAACCCTAGATGGTCAATTTTTTTTAATTCTAGAATTTGTTGACTTTTTACAAAAACTTCCAATTATTTGAATGAAAAAGAAATCTGTAGGGCAGAAATACAAAAAATATGCCATAATGGGTAAAATGTGATAATTTGGCGCTTTTCCAACAAATTCCCATAGGGTCTAATAGTGAAATTTGACACCTTGTGAGATTGCCCCCTAAGAAATCGGGATATGGTAAACATTCGATTTTTTAATCTTAAAACAATAAATATAACAGTAACAATTAATTATCAAAACATTATCAAAAACCTAGGACAGAAATACTTAGACTCGGCCTCGTTAAATAGTCATTCTTATAAAGCCTAAAATCTTTAAGGTATAACATAAAAAATATTTTTAATTAGTTTGATCCATAAAGCAGATGGCAATTCTTATTCAATGGTTTGGGATAAAATGCGGAAATAGCAATTTATCATGTTAATATCTATTAATCCCTATCATGTATTTTGGGAAGATTACCATTGACAAGATATTTTTTTGAAATAAAGAAACATTACATGCTTTGAATTTGTCCAAAATAGGGAAATATTTCACGGGTATTTGTTCTTTATAAGTAAAACCATGATACAATAAGAGGGAAGTTAGAGAAAACGTTTTATCTGGAACTGTTAAAGGTATGCTTTTTTTTTTTTGTTATTTTCCAATAACATACTTTTTAACATATGAAAATGTTTTCCGAAGAAAATGGTAAAATAAGTAAAAACTTAGTAAATTTTTTTTTTCAAGTACATGTAAATGAATTCGGAGACGGATGTGTGAGAATATAATTTACATCAGATACTCGAAATTAGATCTCAAAATTTATTCATATTTACAGTGTGTGCTTAGTAATGATGAAAACCTTGCTTTTGCTTCTCCTAATCACCGTTCAGTTTAAGAGTGGAAACTGTAAGTAAGCAGGAAGGGTATTGTATACATAATAAGTGTTAACTCTGCTGTAGAATTTAATTAATTTAATTTTAATTTTTTTTTCACATTTCTAGTTAACAAAGAAATTAATGTAACTTATAAGGATTCTTTCTCATCATAGTAAACCACTGTCAATTCTTACATGAAACACTTGTAACCTTGACCTTGGAGAGAACTTATGTTAGCCGTGCCTGATATCCAATCCAATGATATAATCTGACTTTACATAATAAGATATTGATTAAATTTAAAAAGGGTATTGTCAAATAATTAATATCTGGTTAATTCAAATCCTATAACATTTTTCGGATTTTATTTTTGTAACCATCCCTTGTTATAAAGTTTTAAAGGAATGTTGTCTTTGTTGCTGTTGAAAGTTTGCTATTTTGCGGCATGAAAACACCCAAGATTATAATTATCTTTTCATATGCAACATTTCAGTGGATATTGTCTTTTTAACCTAACCAACCAAACACTAATTTTTTTAATTTTGCAATGTTTTTTCAAGTCAGACAATTTGCCTTTAAAATATTTGATGATCTAACAGTTCAATATTATGGTTGTCTTGAATGTAGCTCCCTAGATTTGAAATAAATTGAAATGTATTACATCTAATTTCTTTATATAAGCGAACTTACGGATATTTTCCTATTGATTTGTGCATATCTTGAAATTTAAGGCAAGGGGGGCCCATGTGCTGTTTATATTGAAATCTCGGACCTATTGAAAAGAAGTCCATCCTACAAACAGGATGTCATGCCTCTCTGTGACAATCACCTGACCACTGGCTGGTACAGGGCGGGATACCTTAAAATGCCAACATCTCCACCTGATCTTGGATCTTGTGGGACTTATTACCCTTACTGGTTAAACGGTAAGCTTTAACATGTACTTGTTTTCTTATTTTGGTTATTTTGGCAGCTAGTACAAATCACACATTAAAGGTTTGTTTTCAACATGCTCAGGAGCCCTCACTCGCTGTATATTTAGGGGAATTCATTATGTGGTATTTTTATTCATGTAGAGGGATTTGTCATTATAATAAACTTAAATAAATAAACAAAAATATTTGTGTACAAGTGTTCCTTAATTTGAATGATTGATTACTTATTGTTTCACGTCCCTGTCGAGAATTCTTCTTGATTTCTAATAAGTAGATGTACTTTTAATAATTTAATAGGTAATTATATACATATATTACTTGAACATGCATGCTAAAAGTTAGGAAAATAACATTGATTTTAGATAATATTTCTTATATATCTAGTTGCCATTGAATATTTTTTCCTCAAGGCAAATGGTAGATGCCTTTTATATTTTAAAATGAAAATGATCAATTTAACAATTACACTTTTAGTCATTTTTTATGTAAAAAGGTACGTATTTTTTTTTGGAAAGAATGTGTTCTATTGCATGCGCATTTACAGTATGTATTTGATCAAATAAAGAGAAAAGAAACCATAAGAGATATTTCTTATATATCTAGTTGCCATTGAATATTTTTTCTTCAAGGCAAATGGCAGATGCCTTTTATATTTTAAAATGAAAATGATCAGTTTAACAACTATACTTTTAGTCATTTTTTTGTAAAAAGGTACGTATCTTTTTTTTATTTTTGGAAAGAATGTGTTCTATTGCATGTGCATTTACAGTATGTACTTGATCAAACAAAGAGAAAAGAAACCATAAAAAAATGCCATTGAAATATGTATGGAATATTTAGAGGAGAAATTTTGAGTATGTCGATTTTTAAAAGCTTTAGGAAGACTCTTTTCATTGAAAAAATAATTTAAAAGATGGACTTGTTTCACTAAAAATATTATATAATTTTTCTTTTCATGTACTAAGGTGATCATCCATCTACTAATGAAACGAGGGATGCTAAAATTTGTAAAGTTGGAATCACAAATCCATGTTCTGAATCAATGACTATAAGCATAAAAAACTGCAGTGCGTACATGGTTTATCGGCTGCCTCCATTGGAGTGCTGCAACTCAGCCTATTGTTTTGGTTAGTATGATTTTAATGATTGATTGAATATATTTGAACGTCCCTCTCAAGAATTTTTCACTCATATGTAGCCGCCACAACTTCCCGATGGAGAGCTGCAAATTTTGTCCTATGCACGACACTTAGGGCCATTGAGCAGGGAGGGTTCTTTTTCGTGCCAGCACCTACTGCGACACTGGACCTCGGTTTATACCGTCTCATCCGAAGACCGGTCTCCACATCCCACAGTGGGATTCGAACTCGCGACGTAATTATCCTTATAAGGATCTACTCCTTACTTTGCGACCCTAGAGCAGGCGCTCTAACCACTGCGCCAAGAGGGCGACTAGTATGATTTGTAAACAATACAAATCATTAGCTGGGCAAACACGAACCTCCTCACCTTTAGAACCGAGATCAGGTGTAATGGAGGAGTAAAGTCTTCAGCCTACCGGTCCCAACAACCGTTGACAATGCAATGGTAAAATAATGGCCAGTTTTATTTCAAAAAAGTAACATTCGACTTCATGATTGAACCAGCGAAAAGTTGACATAAATCGAGACCTTTGATTAATACACGTTTTAAAGGATTTTTTTGTTTTCTTCTGAGATATCACTGAAGTCCCTTCTTTATAAGTGTCTATATATGCCCAGTTTGCAGTACTATGAGTACTCCGTTAGTAATTTCTTGGCGAGAATCAGCTTAAAAATTTTTTAAGAAGAGTATAAAAAAAGGATGTCATCTTGTAATCAAATAGCTCAAAAACAAAACATATTTAATTGACTTATTTTTGATGTTTTAACGTCTGCTTGTTTATTTTTAAATCTGCAAATATTTCTGAAATATTATGATGAATTTTATTCGAATGATTTTTTTTTCTCAAGTTCAATTTTTTGTCAAATTTCATATTTTGTTTAAGAATGCAAAATATCTCTTAATATGTAATTTGAAATTCAACAGCACCATTTTGGCCCACATAGTTTGAAATATGCTCAATATCAAAAACATAAAAAGAATTACGGAAGCCTATTAGTGCCACTTAGACACTTTTTTTTAATTTCTACACTTTAATCTGTAAATTTTCCACTTTAAAGTGTAAATTTTCCACTTTAATATATAAATTTTACACTTTAATATGTAAAATTTACACTTTAGTCTATAAAATTTACACATTGATCTGTAAATTAACACTTTAATCTGTAAAATGTACACTTTAACCTGTAAAAGTTACAATTTAAAGTGTAAAATGTACACTTTAAAGTGTAAATTTTAGCTTCAAAGTGTAAATTTAACACTTTTTTATTGTAAATTTTACACTTTAATCTGTAAAATCCACACATTAATCTGTAAACTTTACACTTTAATCTGTAAATTGTACATTTTCATTTGTAATATTTACACTTAAATCGGAAAAATTTACACTTTAATCTGTAAATTTTACTCTTTAATCTGTAAAAGTGTAATTTTTACAGGTTAAGGTGTAAAATGAACAGATTAAAGTGTAGAAATAATTAAAAAAAAAAATAAAGGGTCCAAGTGGCACTAAAACGCTTCCGTAAGGAATATATTGAAATGAAACACTACACTTTTTATTATGTTTTTTTTTAAATAACCAATCGATCTGTTACAATTTTATATGAAGCTTTTTATGATTATTTTAACATTCTTTCTGTTACGAAGTTTCAGTAAATTATATTGATAAAGGTATAGTTATATAAAATGTAACGAAAAATCTGAACATGCATACTCATGGAATTTAAAATGAATAAGTAAGTATTCTACGCTTTATCAAAGATCAAGAGAATGATCGAAATGAAACCAAAATCGAAATTTGTTAAAATGGAGCTCATTGAAACGACAGTTCAAATGTTTTTGAGGTATTAAAAATAATCAATACAAAAACTGAAAGAATCAGTTGATGACATCTCAAAACTTGACCTTTGAATATATCTTTGATCACTATTGTGTATAAGGAACAAATTTCCAAGCTGCATACAATTTAATGAGTGTCCCACTCTGTCAAATCACTTTTCTGTTATTCAAAGAATTTTTTTCATGATTTTAGTAGGACCCACCAGAAAATGTGAGTAGTTTTTTTTAAATATACAGATTATATAGAAAATAAGAAAAAGTAAAATTATAGCGTATTTCATAACGGGATGATTACATATATATTGTTGACTTAAAAAGAATAATTTTTCATCTGTTTAGGTAAATTTGATGTTTCACTCAATCCAGTTGTCTCATACTACAATATTACTTGGTTTAACGAAACTAATTCAAAGGTGTTTGTTACACGATACAATCCTAGTGTAAATTTGATCTGTAAATTTTCTCCATTACCCGATGAAACATTGTTTTATGATATATCGTGGTATGTGGACGACATCGAGGCTGTGAAAGGCCAGCTTGTTACATCTCGTACACTTGGCAATGCACTTCTGTCTTCAAGAGACATATTAGTAAAAAACAAAACTGCAGGATCAATGGTGGGTATGACTTTATAAAAGCATATCATTTTTATTTAACGTCCGTTGTTTCCATTTAAGAGCATTTTTTGCATTTATTATATTTATATATTAATTTAAAAACTGTGTTCATTTTTAGATTCACTGCATTGTCGGAATTAAATCAACTAAAACTGGCTTTCCATGTGATGCAAAGGCAAGCCCTCTGTTTTTTGCAGGCATTGAAGTAAGATATACCGTTGTTTTGGCATATGTTAAAGGCGAAAATAGTTATGAAATCTTGTTGGTTTATCTATTATATCAATTAATCATTCTTAAAACACTTCTGAATTGAACCTCGTTTAACATGCATTAACACTGAAAAGTGTACACAACCTCTGTACAATTTTGTTCTGAAAAGAATTATATAATGAATCAGCATAAAATGCCGTTTTAAAGTTGTGTTCTATAAGGTTATTAAAAACTTATTCTTGGACAATGACGTTGGAGCTTTTCCTTGTGCAGTTTGACATATAGTATAGTGAAATAATGCGTATTTGATAAAAAAAAAATGAAAACAATTCATGATATTTATAATTACGAACAAAAAAGTCATTGGTTCAATAACTACGAAAGCCCAGAAGGCTCATTCGAGATTCGAGATTCAAAATACGAGATTCGAAATTCGAGATTCGAAATACGAGTTTCGAGATTCAAGATCCAAACTAACCAATCAAAAGCGGATTCAACATTTGATTACTCCCCTTTATTATGTTTTTACTATCAAGAAATCGTTTAAAATAATTATAACCAATGGGTCATTTGATTAAATTACAATGCAAGAAAGAGTGTTTTATATATATTAGAAGGAAATTTAAATAATTATTGGATTTTTTTAGCAAGATATACTTCAATTTATATTATAGCTTCTTAAATATTAAATAGATTACATATATCAGGAGTATATATATTTTTGTATTATCTTCTACATTTATTGTTTTTTTGTATTTCCGCGCATAGGAAAACCACAGGTACTTGTGGACAGGACCCCTCCCCCCCCCCCCCCCCCGCCTCGATATTCTATACCAGGGCTTACTGGACAATATTTTTAACAAATTATATTTATTACACTTATTAATGTGTACAATACGAAAACATCACGGGCGTAAAACCCCCAGAATAATCGTTTAACCAAAAAAAACCCCATTAAACATTACATGTACCCCTCCCCACTATACAAGAGAGGTGTCATTTAAGGAGAAAATATGGGATTATTACGAGATGCAGAGTCAATCCGATAGCATGGACTAAGACAGAAATATTTGTAGAGACATTTAATTTTAATCCACATTTTAAGTTAAAATAAATGCATGGTTTTAAACCTAGAAATAGCAGCGGGCGTACAACGTAAACAAACTTAAAATGTATAGTGGGGTATTTTTTGTGTTGAGCGATTATTCTGGGTTTTTACTATTTTTTGGGCATTGAATACACGATGAATAAGTGTATTAGATATATGTTGTGAAAAAAGTACAATAAGCCCTGGGGTTGAATATCGAGAGGGGGGGGGGGGGGAAGGGATGCCCTGTCCACAAGTACATTTGGTTTTCCTAAGCGGGAAAATACATAAAAATTAAGTTTAGAAGACAATACAAATAAATATATATACTCATGATATAAGTAATTTTTTTAATAATTAAGAAGCTATAATATAGATTGAAGTATATTTTTCTGATCAAAAATCCAATAATTATTAAAATTTCCTTCTAATATATATAACACTCTTTCTTGCATTGTAATATAATTAAATGACCCATTTGTTATAATTATTTTAAACGATTTCTTCATAGTAAAAACATAATAAACGGGAGTAATCAAATGTTGAACCCGCTTTTGATTGGCTAGTTTGGATCTTGAATTTCGAATCTCGAATTTCGAATCTCGAATTTCGAATCTCGTACTTTGAAACTCGCTTCTGATTGGTTAGTTTGGATCTTGAATTTCGAATCTCGAATTTCGAATCTCGAATTTCGAATCTCGTACTTTGAAACTCGCTTCTGATTGGTTAGTTTGGATCTTGAATCTCGAAACTCGAATTTCGAATCTCGAATTTCGAATCTCGTACTTTGAAACTCGAATCTCGAATGAGCCTTCTGGGCTTTCGTAAATAACACTGTAAAGCACCTTTTTTTCTTCAAAATGTATCAACTTCAAAAGTATTAGGGCGTAGCAATATCATTTCGTGACGTATTAAAATGCGATTTGAAAGAAAAAACATACACATCATCTATTCATATAAAAAGTTCGAAAATCTCCCATTAAGGTAAGTCACTCCTGAAATTTCTTATATCAAGGATTTTTTGAGAAGTATATTTTGGATAAGTACTCATAAAGTGTAACCCAAAATCGCAATGAAAATAGGGGGTCAGTGTGCATCCTACTGATCTACGGTACACTTAAGTTGAACTTTTTGCACTTAAATTTCATCTCTTTGGTTAATTACTTTAACCCTTATTATATTTGATTAGATGTAAGCATGGCAATAAATGTAATCTTTTTTTACGTAAAATAGTTTGAATAATATTTATCATTAAACAAATCTTGCAAATTAATGCGCGTAAATTATTGAGTAACATTTTTGCACTAAAAAATAACATATCGGGGGTCTTGAAAAATTCAATAGGCAATAAAAAATTTTCTTATATCAAACTTTTTACGACTTGAGTGCTGATCAGTCACAAGTATCGAGTAGTTTAAAATAATGAAAGAAAAAGGTGGGGTCAGTGATGCTAATTTTGAAATATTTGTCAAAATATGTGATTTTCAGGCAAAAAATGGTGTAAATTTGACCTTGACTTCTTTAATATATTTTTATTTTTTGGAAAAGTTTGTTGAGGGAAGGTATAAAACTTAGTCTAAAAATATAAATTAAGACCTATATTAAATATTTTTAGCAATATCAAAACGGAAAATATTCTCCGAGTAAAAGTATGTGAGGCTAAATTTCCATCACATTAAATTTCATAAATGTGCAGATTTGCAGAATTTTCTGCTAAATATCCTTCCACCAAAAGAAATAGTCCCTCATAGATCTTGCTTCTTTGTAGATTTTTGAGCAGTTTTTTCATTGAATGTTAAAAAATTTACATTGTTGAATTCAAATATGTTATAAAAATTGAATTTTAATAAGTAGTTTTGAAGTAAAAGCTTCTGCGTGAACTTTTCTAAAAAGCTGACGAGTGACTTACCTTAATACCCCCAAACATGTATCAATCGTATTTGTAGTAACAACACTTCCCCTCAGCTCCGAAAGAAGAAAACTCTAGTAATTACGTTTAGTTAACATCTTTAATACAATCACTTTAAACCAGCAAGTAGAATATTTGTGTATTGTAAAATTTAGTAAATCATGCATTCATCAGATCGATATTATATAAGCAAAAGTCTTTAAATAATATGCTTATACATATATATACTAGGTGCTTACTCCTCAACTTTATATTGAGAAAGGTGGAAAAGCTCTTGTACAGCTGCGAGTAACCATTCCCTATGCAACAGAAAATCTGGTGTATAACAATTACGATTTGGGAACATATGATCTTCCCGTGTTTTTGAATTTTCCTAACAACTCTTCGCTTGGTTGTGATATTGAATATTTAAAACGAGATCGATGTGAAGTCCTGATAAAAGGTTATTCCTTTAAAGAAAGGGCTCAGTATGAAACAGACGTTTGGAAACAGGTTTACAATGTGTCCATATCATACAGGGAAGATGGAGACTTTGAAATGTTAGATAAAGGTATTTCATTACAACTGAAGACCGGGGAAACCTACGGCATAGGAGGTAGTTTATTCAGCAATCTAAAGTTACCAGATGTACAGGCAAGTCAGACATGTTTGTGTTGTATTTTGTCTTAAGTTCGTTCGTTTTCATGGGGACGGCCAAACTATAAAAAATTAAAATATGAAATAGGTTTTAAAACACTATTGACGTCTTAATGCGAAATAAAACTTTGGTTAATACGGTTTCATCCAGAGGACGGGTTTCTGTCGTCGGAGTCCAACCCGCTTTGTTTTAAGATAAACTCTTTACTCGGCAGCTCTAGAACAATTTCTCAAACCATTTCCATACACAGTGTTGTAAACTTGTAGAAGCAAAAAAGTACATTTCAAAACATTGAAAAAAGCAAAGAGAAGAAACATGACTGTCGTTTTTAATATTAAATATTAAATCATAATTTTTAGGCTATGTTATTGCCTTTTTCCTCGTTTACCTATTCATAACAACGCGCTCATGGTGGATGTAAATAGTCGACAGGAGATGCTTCCATGACTCCTGATGTTTTATAAGTCCATTTTTACTCTTTTCACCATTTGCATTGTTTTATTGACTTTTGACGTTGATAACTGTTTGTAATCTACATAATTCATTAGAAAATAAGTTACATTTTCAACAAGTTAACAAGATTGATTGATTAAATATTGTTTAACGTCCCTCTTGAGAATTTTTCACTCATATGGAGACGTCACCGTTTGCCGGTGAAGGGCTTCAAATTTAGACCTATACTCGGCACTCAGGGCCATTGAGCAGTGAGGATTCTTTATCGTGCCAGCGCCTACCGTGACACGGGACCTACGTTTTTAAGGTCATATCCGAAAGACCCGTGACTTTCACTTCTAGTGCCGAGCGCTTGGCGCAAGTTAACAAGAGGACAAGAACTTTTAACAAATATATATTTTATATTTCCTGGAAGGTAATTCATTGTGAATTCGTGTATTCTTTATAGGTATATACTAACAAAGCACTCATTTCTTCAACCGAGTCGACAACGAAACGAACCGGATATTGTGAATCAAGTTCCTCCACAACTAACATTCCTGTGACAATGCTAAAAGCGAACACACCATTATCAACAACAATAAACCAAAACGCAAATTTAACGATAAATGCAAACGTATCCAAATGTAAGCAAATTTACAATTAAAAATTTCCTAATACATGTGGTAAAACATTAAGTTCTTAATGTATGACATTTGAAATCGTATATAGTTTTACAATTTATTGATAAATTGATCAGTGCGTGGGTCATTTTAGGAATATAATACTATTTTATGGTTAATTTGTTTTAGGTAATGATATGAATGTCTCTGTTTATTCTAAAGAAAATTGCTACTTAGCTACAGCAACGCCATTTGAGAAGCTAACAGTCCCAGTCTATGCTTTTGTCATAGCTATGGGAATCTTTTTATTCATTATAATGATGATTCTTGTGGGTTGTCGATGTCGTTTGTAAGTAATTATAGGTTGAGATAACTTACATTCAAATAGCAAAAAAAAAAAAAAATTGCAAATTAAAAATCAGTCTGTACATGCTGTAAATGATTGTCTAATAAATGAAATAATTATATTTCTTGTATAATGGTGTAAAAAGAGCATCAACCAATAAGGAACAAAGAAAGAATGAGAACCCCGACAAATCCTGTCATAAAAGACCGACTGGGACAGGCCTGGTTACCCCAAAAACAAATCAGTCAAACATTGAAAATGAAAACAACATGCTTTCGGAAGGACAAACTATTTGTAAAAATGAATATACGTGTATAACAGAATTAGATGAAATAATGTCGAAACAAAATTCTCATTTAAGTGAAAATATTTACCAACGCCTGGATGAAAAAGAAACACATTTGTACGAATGCCTGGGTGAAGACAACAATCGTTTTTATGAAGGCCTCAGCAAAGACGAACCTCATTTTTACGAGCAACTTCCTCGAAAAGGGTGCATTTAAATGTATATTTAAAAGCATATGTATTTATGCATAGACTATATACATACAAGAATGGTACACATATGATGTATTTTACTTGATATAAGTAAAATGATAAACAACTGATGTTTTAATTCATATTATAGCATTGATGAGGTTATCCAATCATTGTAAAAGCTGGACAAATTATTCCATTATATGAATGGAATTTAAAAGGGACGAATAATTATGTATTCCATACTCAATCGTTTCATTAATTTAGTTTTTAATTGTTGCATAAAGTTCAATTCACGGAGCAAGGTAAAAAATGATTGAGTTTACTTATTAAACACCTTATAAATATGTTTATACCCGTACCTCTATAATTGTTGCCCGAACGAAACAAAATTAATAAATGTTTTTACTAAGTATTGCTCTATTTCTTCCGATGGTGAAAGTTAATGCAATGCATCGCTTCATTAAAAAGATAAAATTTTTCTTAAGACAGATAGACTTGATTTAAAAAAAGCAAAATTAAAAAAAATATGACCTCGAAGAACTTCACTTAGCAGCGTCAAGTAACAAAAGCTGTTTTTCATTCGAGAATCCTCTAAAATAAAACCCTAAATTGTTGGAGGAACCAGGGAATACGTAGAAATAAAACTGTACATTTGTGCATATGAAAAGGATTTTTTTTAAAGTGATAGAGACTATAGAATATAGTGAAAAATCTTGTCAAAAGGATAAGTAACCTCATGAAACGTTGATGTACCTTTCACTGTTCCAGTCCTTATGAATTCAGATTGATTGATTGTATACTGTTTAACGTCCCTCTCCAGAATATTTCACTGATATGGAGACGTCACCATTGCAGGTGAAGGGCTGCAAATTTGGGCCTATGCTCGGCACTCAAGGCCATTGAGCAGGGAGGGATCTTTATCATGCCACACCCGCTGTGACACGGGGCCTCGGTTTATACGGTCTCGTCCGAAGGACCGCCCCATTTAGTCGCCTTTTACGACAAGCAAGGGGGTACTGAGGACCTATTCTAACCCGGATCCCCACGGGACCCATATGAATTTAGAGTTACGACGTAAAGAATTTGAAAACATTGACAATCTAAGGTAAGATACTACATACAATTGATTTTATGAATGGGGAAGATGCTTCTACAAGTGTATCGAATGAAAGGCAAAGTAATTTTGAGCAACTTTCTCGACGTTACTTTTGACGTTTAAATGCTGATACATGTAACCCATAGGTGCTCCATATGTAAATCTGTAAACAACGAAAGATAAGTATACATAGGTCTACGACCACTGGATCTCTACTATAAAATCAACAAGGCACTGTTGCAACCACTATTGAAATAATTATATCAATAGTGGTTGAGAGTGCATTTCAATAGCAAACACAGTTAGTAACCACTACTGAAATACGACCACTATTGAAATACGACCACTATTGAAATAATTATATCAATAATGGTTGAGAGTGCATTTCAATAGCAAACACAGTTAGTAACCACTATTGAAATACGACCACTATTGAAATACGACCACTATTGAAATAATTATATCAATAATGGTTGAGAGTGCATTTCAATAACAAACATAGGTAATAACCACTATTGAAATACGACCACTATTGAAATAATTATTTCAATAGTGGGTGAGAGTGTATTTCAATATAATAACCATAGGTTTCAACCACTATTGAAATACGAGTACTACTGAAATAATTGTATGAATTGTGGGTGAGAGTGCATTTCAATATGGTAAGCATAGGTTTCAACCACTATTGAAATATACTACCAGTATTGAAAGAAAAATTTCACCCCGTCAGCAACTTTTGAAATAATTATTTCAATATATATTCGATTCATTGTTCAATGCACTATTAAAATCAATAATTTAATCCATATTGAAATTTTTATTTCAAAAGTGAACATTATTTCTATAGTGGTTGCAACCTATGTTTGTTATTGAAATGAATCTCACCCACTATTGAAATAATTATTTCAATAGTAGTCGTATTTCAATAGTGGTAACTATCTATTTTTGTTATTGAAATGCACTCTCACCCACTATTAAAATAATCATTTCAATAGTGGTCGTATTTCAATAGTGGTTACTAACTGTGTTTGCTATTGAAATCCACTCTCAACCACTATTGATATAATTACTTCAATAGTGGTTGTATTTCAATAGTGGTTACTGACTATGTTTGCTATTCAAATGCACTCTCAACCACTATTGATATAATTATTTCAATAGTGGTCGTTATTTCAATAGTGGTTGCAACAACGCATGTTAAGCATTCCTTATCGACCCCAATGCTTATTACATGTGTTGAATTTCCATTTTGCACAAGAAAATTATCATTTCAAATTTTTACAGTTTTAAAGAAACACCAAGGGAAGTACAAACGTTATGAAAAGAAAGAAATTTTCACTTTTCAACTCCTTTCAGGTCTGTAATCTTATTTCAAATGCTAAAGTCACAAAGATAGGGGTTGTGTACCCGACGGAAATCAGCATATTAAATTTTGCGCACCAAGTAGAAATATGTTTTAGAATTAAGTATTTGTTCTTGGGAATGAGATATTGTTTTTACGAATAAGCAAGGCATTTACGATTGTTTATAAAAATTGTTGAATATCAAATGTCATCAACAAAAATTGATCTAATTATGCCATTGGGAATTTTTCTCTTTTTTTCCTTTCTTTTGATTTTTGCCGCATGACAAGACTATTACCTACGAAAACTATCGGTAGTTAGAATGTTACTTTCGGCATTCAATATTAGCTTATCTGCATATTTTGAACATCTCAAGTGGCTCTTTTTATCTATAAAGTGAATTTTATGCCATTTAGTGTCTTGTTTTGAGTTGTAAAAATTAATTCTCATCTTAATTCTAAATTTATTTGTTTTGAGAAGTGAGTATCGAAGAGAAACATTATTACAATGTCTGTATATTTTTGTTATGCGGCGTAAGACTAGACCAAAGAATGGGCAATGATTTTGTAAAGTTTAATATTTCATATAATATTGCAAATGCCTTAATGAAATTCCTAGACAACAGTTAAAATAGTTAGATAGACATAATAATAAATCAAATGATTTTTTCTTTAGTTATTAACTTTCCACTGTGACTTTCCTTTTGGATTACAACAAGGCTTTGTTTTGATTTAACATACATGTATATTGCAGATACATGTATTTAGATTACATTCTTAAAAAATGTAATGTTTTAGCACACTGTTTTGTGTACGAAAGGACGTTGAAGAGACATATTTGTAGATACAAAAATTATATTCAAAGTAAAAATAACATTGAAGTTCATTAAATAGGAAACAACTTTAACTGAACAATTTCATAGAGGAAAAACAACAATTGCTTTCACCCTTTTTCGTGGAATAGTTTAACTTTGTTTTTATGTGTTTGAATGTATGCAACATTTGACCATACAGAGAGAGGACAAGAGAAGAAATTTGTGAAAAAATGTGGAAAGAATGTGAAAATTATGAAATATCAAAATATTCGAAATGTTTATGTTTCTTCATGCGAAAAACTGATGCAAATAGATAAGCAAACATAAACATGATTACTATAGATATCAACAAATTTAAATAAACATCACACAGCAATATCAAGATTTTCCCTAAATGTTCATTGGTGGGTGGTTTTTCATTAGTGAACTTCTAGCCAACACTCAATTGAACAACAAAACCATTTGGAGCTCAAATCTTTTTTTTTCATGTAAATAGAGTACCAAAAAGTAAAATATGCTTTTTAGTATTTTTCTTATTTCCCATTTAGTATTTTTAATTGATGCAGACACAATACGAGGATGAAAAGCTTAAATATATCTACTTAGATCATAAGGAAACGCGTATTTCATCTCTTAAACATTCAAACTTAAAATGTTATTGCTCCTATAGTGGCTTGAAATCAACAACATGAAAAAAATTAATAAAGTTACCGTGTGTTATAGCAAACATCATAAAAGGGAAGATTCAATATAAATATTCTTCTTAGTTGGAGAATGCGGTAAATATGTGTTTTTTTATTTTAAATATTTTTAAATATGTTTTTGTTATTTATTGGATGATTCCCTCATTTCAGTATTAAATGCATGTTCTTCGAATGGTATTCCTGGCTAACTAGCATTCACGATAATTTTTACAAGTCAACTTTCACTGCAAAACTCGACTTTAAAATCTTTAACAAGGTCAAACGTTAGAGGAAAATAAAGTATTTTATTTCTATGTGTATTCCATTTTTATGTTCAGATATTAATATCCTTTATTTTTTACAGTAATAATTAGTGCCTATCAAAAATGAAACCTTTAGGTCTACTGATGATTGTTGTTGCTATATGTCATGTCAGTAAAACTTGTAAGCCAGCAGATTTTATCTTATTTTTTAATCTTCTGCAAGAACGTACGAATTATTAGATTATAAATAAACTATACTGAATGCTAATAAAGGTAGCAATGGATAAGCAAAGGGCAGTAACTCTAAAATGTGCTTAAATTTTGTTGTTAAAAAATGGTGTAAAAAATAAACAAAAGGGTGGTAGTGTGTTACGGACTGATACAGTGACGACATGCACAGTCTTGAAAGTTTTTCAGAAACATTTCTAAAGTATTACTGCAAGTGTACATGTATATCGAAGAAAATAAATTAATTGCATCCTTTTTTATTGAAAAAAAATAAAAATGAAATATTTCTTTCGAGAGAAAAAATTGAATTTCTGAATATACACCAAGAAGATCTGATTTTTATAAAACAGTAAAGTAATTTCTATGAGAATTTGATCTAAAATATTTTTTAAAACCTTGTATTCAATGCCAAATCATGCTTGGTCACATGGACTATTTTTGCCCGATAAGGTTATTTGCCCTTTGCTGTCAGGATCCTAGTAAATTGCAAGGTGCAAAATGGTCACAACACTATGTGAATATCTTGCTTTCAACAATTTAGTTAACTTTATTTTTACATTGTAGGGGTGACATAACAATGATGAGGGTCATACCGGGGGGGGAGGGGGGGGGGGGTATTCAGCAAATAACAGTGTCAGCTTTTCATTTTTCATATTAATTGTATTTAAGATTGAAGATTTTTTTCTAAATACAAAAATACACTCAAGAAATGATAACTTTTACTTGATAATTATATTATTAACCCCCCCTTTTTTTTGAAGCCATTAGTTTATCCAAATGAAACTACAGATCAATTTGTTTTACTTCATAAAAATAAGAAATAACTCAAAAATACTTCAAATTAAATTAAAAAATTACAGTACATGTGTACAATCAAACAGAACTTTGTACATCACATCTGACTGAGAAACAATATCTGTATTGTATAAGTAGGTTAATAAGACATCATCATGATTATTGGATCTAGATTTCAGTCATTTAACTTCTCTAACATGACTATAATCATGCAGTTACAGGATTTCTGATCATGATATTAAGTTTCTATCTTGCAAAGAATGAAAGAGGGTGAAAATGATACCACACTTCGAACTTCAAATTTCTGGCAACCATAAAGTATTTGATTTTCTTGTTAATAATATATCATATATGATAGAAAACAATATTTAAATACATATCTTTTTGTTTATATAATTATTGTAAAGTACTTTACATTAAATGAAGAATTGCAGCTTAGTAGATTTTGTACCTTTAATTTTTTAAAAAACGGCAACACTTTATTTCAAGATGTGAAAAGATGACAACAAAAAAATATCATAACTTTTTTTATTTTTCAACCAATTTCGAAAAACGAAACTGTTTTGGAAATGGTTTTGAATGCTCTTAAATAAAAAGCATTGCTTTTTAATCTGAGAAGTGCTTTTAAAAATGAGGGCTAATTGTTTTCAAAACATATGTCATTATTTCAGATACTAAGATGTTAAGAATCGTCAAACGGATCATGTTCCATAGCTAATAAAGGTAGTCATGGACGGTTGAAATCGCCCACGTGGTCAGATTTCCTAATCCTACCCTATTTGCTGACTGTTTTGTCGGTAGTAAATAATATTAAAAACTATATTCCACTACAGCTGTGGCCGAAGTACAAGGCAAGATTACCTTGCTTTGGCGCTGGTACCCTCTTTGATGCTTTAAAGGATTCGACTTTCTTCTGCTCTCGGTTTGTAAAATTTATTTGATTTTCTGCTTGATTACAGCTTGTTATCAAAATATTTGTTACTGACGAAGGCTCCTATTTGTGTTTAAAGAATTTTTTGAAATTTAGAAGAAATTTAAAAACAGGCAACGTTTATATTTAAAAAAAAATAATATTCTTAATTATCTGTGTTCTACCTTTCATTAAAAAAAAGGATGTTGTGTCTGTAGTTGTTAGAATCTTGGATCAGAATTTAAAAATAAAGCACAGGACAAACTACATTTTAGTTTTATTTCTTTCATTTGATTACAAAAAAAAAATACAATTAAGATTTCTGTAAAATTAAAAGTCATCAAAATTTACACTTTTATGCATTTAAAAAAGTATTATTTAATTTATTTATTTTACATGTATATCTAAGTTTCTAGAGGAGGTAAGTCTTCCGTGTTAACTTTTTTGTAAAGGGTTAATCCCACATTTCCTCTAGTTCTTGCCTCGTTTCCAATAGACCAATGCTCTGTCCCTTTCCTTTTAAAAGAAAAGAAAGAATACTGCAATATCATGTTCATGTTACAATTAAATATGCATCTGGTCTACAACTTTACTCCCAATTGATTTTATTGTACTCCTTAGGTTTAAAAAAAATATCACATCTGATATTTTTTTTTATTATTACGTTGCGGGCGCAGTGGTTAAGCGTCTGCTCTAGAGTCGCAAAGTAAGGAGATGATCTTTACGACACAGGCTTGAATCCCACTTTGGGACGTGAATGCCTGTCCTTAGGATGAGACTGTATAAACTGAGGTCCCGTGTCGTAGTAGGTGTGAGCACGAAAAAGATCCCTCTCTGCACAATGGCCCTGGTTGCCGAGTAAAGGACAAAATAGCAGCATTCCACCGGCAAGTGATGGCGTCTCCATATGAGTAAAAAATTCTCGAGAGGGACGTTAAACAACATACAATCAATCAATCATACATGTAGATTGCTTCGGACATTTTAAAGAAATAAAACTTCAATCTAAGCTGAAAAAACTCACATTCTAACTCTATAAATAACTGTTATGACGATGGTTATGACAAAGACAGCAGCTATTAGCGACACAGTTGCAATAAAAATTGGATTAGAAAATATGGATTCTTGTGACACTTTTCCTTCTGTTGAAGACAGACAGTCTGAAAAAAGAAATACAGTATATTCAATTAGAATAAGATAGTAAAACATGTATCTCCATATATTATTAAATTTAATAGTGTTTTATTTTGAAACATATTTTATAACCTTGATCTTTGATTTATTTGTGTTTCTTAAAAATTTTCACATTACATTCACATTTCACATTATTTTACAGAACAAATATACATTTTTTTGTTTAATGTTATATAAACATGAATAAATTTGATTTCGCAAATGTCGAATTATTAAAAACGCTTTGAGAACACAATTTTTAGCGCATTATCCGCTTTTGTGTTCCACATTACAGTACTGAATATCTGTTTACCGAGTCATATTGAAAATTCGGTCAAAACTTGTAGGCAAAGAAGTATTATTCTTTTACCATCCCCTCACACCCCAAAGCACGAGACCATTAAATAGGTGCATGGTCAGTAGAGCTAAAATTTTATTTAAAGTACGCTTCATAACATAATTTGACATAGCATAATATGATATAACATAGTTTGACATTTAATTTGACAAAACATTATTTGAACACGAACCTGTGTCTGTAGAAAATTCATATACATTGTTCGATGAGTTGCAAAACTGGCAGTGAATATCAGGATTTTTTTCAAAATCTTTGAAACAACTTTCTTTTATGTAACAGTGTCCTGGAAAATATATACGTTATTTAATATTATTAATGGAAATCACTTAAAATAATTTAATTATTATCTTGAATCTGTATACCATTCTTTATTTTCCAGACACTTTTGTTGGTGAATGAATCGCAAACTTTACAATCTTTCCCCTGTTCTGATCTCCCTTGATTGACGCAAAGTCCATCTATCAAACAGTGACCTGAAAAATAAAACACAATTTCAAAATAATATTTTTGATATTGTGTGTGGAAAAATAGAGTGTTTTCAATACAGAGAGCAATTGCACCAGAAAACTCCATCATTCATATTACATCAAAAGTTGTGTCCACAAGTATAAAAGTTTACTTCCATAATATCTTAAGAAAATTAAAAGGGACATGGACACAGTTTCAATTTATTTTTTTAATGTTTATCACTCAAAATAAAGGCAAAATTTGAACATCATCATTTGTTGATATACAAAGGAGATATAGAACCTAAGATTCTTCATAATATAAACAAAGCTCGTGGCTTGTTTTTGCTAACAAAGAGAGAATATCATATAACAGAACAAGATTCAGTAAGTCATTGAAAACTAGTCTAATGATATTAGAATTCGATAAATGAGATTAAATTTTTTGTAAATCATTTAAAAAAAACCTTAAATTTGTAAGCAAAAAAATGGAAAAAAAAAATTGAAGATTTTCAGTTTAAACTGTTTCATGCCCCTTTAATTTATTAAATAATTATTAATGTTGAATCAGAAGTAGGTATTTGGAGCTCGATATATTGTATAATAAGTTAGCTGTATTATTTACCAGGACTTAATGACCATTCTCCTCTGGTAAGTGATATGTTGCAGTATAAACAGATTTTGACATTGTTCCTCTGACCACCTGCCACACAAACATCGCCGATATTGCAGTATGCTTTAAATATAAATCAAAAGATATATTTCTTAGCTTCATACTTTTGAATCTGAATGCTTTAATGCCCTGATATTAAAATAATACCGGTATTTAAAAAAAAACTTTCATCAAATCACATTCCATATCAAAATTGCGCTGATATTTAAAGTCGATATTTGATTCTGATGCATTTTGAAAACAGATAAACTGCATTTTTTATGAGAACTTGAGCTGTTACTTTATGGAAAGTATACCTGTATTTGATGAAAAATCAAACATATCGTTCATCACATTGCATATATGACAAGGATATATTTTATTCACTTCCATGTCTTTATAGCAGGTGTCCTGTATGTAGCAGTGCCCTGTAAATAAATAGCTTCTCTTAATTTTATGTCCAACCCTATCTATTTTAAAACAAATATGATTTATATCTGTTACCGTCTTTTATTTGCCAGCCACTGTTGTCGGTATGTACGTCACAGATTCTACAATCTTTGTTCTGCTGGGTACTCCCATGTTTTATGCAAACACCATTAATCATGCAAAAATCTGAAAAGAAAAGCATTTTTTTAGAAATACCTCATAGATCCTTAAACATTAAAAATGCAAACTTTCAAAGAGAACAATTATAAAATGAATTAGAATTTGTTATTTTTGAAGGAAGGGATAGGTTCAACTATGGATAATTTATTTATTATAATGCTCAAATGCTTAAGAATTATTCCTTGTCCCTTTTTTAATAAAACAAATCAAAAAGAATATCTTTGTTAAAAAGTATAAAATTCATTTTGTCGCATTTACCTTGATCAAATGTCCAGTCTTCCCTACTGATTGACATGTTACAATATAAACAAGACTTGACCTTGTTTTTCTCCCCCTCAGCCACGCAAAGATCGCCAATATTACAGTAAGCTTGTAAAAAATAATCGACAAAGTTAACCATGTCCTACAGGGAGTTGATAAGCTGAATTGTAATGAGTTTTTTAAAAGTGAAATAAAGTGGAAAATGGAATGTTACAATAATATGAAACTGATCATATGCACCTTATTTACGTAGTGAAAATTACGGGTATAAATACAATGTACAATAACTTTTGTTGAATGTCACAAAATTAATTTATTTAAAGACTTTTGATCATAAAAAAGCTGTTTATGTTTGGGGCGTGGTGGATGAGCAGTCAACTTTTGCCAAAAAAAAAGGAAAAAAGATTTGCGTTTCACAAGCAAAAATTCTTACATACGATAGTAGGATCCATCACATCAATTGTTTGTTAAAAATTGTAATATAAAAAACACATATTATTTTATTTTATTATTTTATCTTCTTCAGTTGAAAAATTGGACTTAAAATATTCTCATTATCTTTTAAATATACATGCTTGTATAATTGACCATTGGATTAAATGTCAATCTGATAAGTTGTGCTTATACATTTTCAAAAACCAAACTCTTTAATAGGTTGGATTTTGATTGCTGGAACTATTTCAAATAAAAGCAAGTGTGGTCGTTTGACTAGGACAGCATGACGTTGCATATAATACAAAAATCGCATTTCAATTTTTATTGTTAATTATATTTGTCTTTGTAGGTAAGCAATAGACTTAATAGAAAAATATAAGACAGTCGGAAACTTCAATTCATCATACATAAATTAAAAAATAACATTTCCGAGGTAGGTGCATTGTATATAAAAGTACAGTATAATAAACTGATAAATACGATAAAGAATGGATACATGTATAAATTGAAATCGTTGCCATTTCTACTTTTAATGCGTTTTGTTACTTTTATACTTTTAATGCGTACAGGTATAAAGTTCGCAAAATAAAATGCTGTATTTGATTTTTTTAATATTGTTTTCATGTTAATGTTACGTTTGTCCCAGAAACCCTGCGAGATTTTTTTCGATTTTTTAAAAAAGTGCGAACTAGAAACCATGACTCTTCCAAAGTGGAAATAGAATTTTATGAGTAAATTCATTGACATTTCAAGAATAATATATATATATATATATATATATATATATATATATATATATATATATATATATATATATATATATATATATATATATATATATATAACTTAGGTCAACTCAGGATACACTGTGTTATTTGCGATATGCAGATTCAATTCAAATGTGCCAATTAATTCTCCTTATAGTACCTTGTATGAATAAAACTTAAAATACCTGGATTTGCAGAAAATTCAAATACACCATGGGATGAATTGCACATCTGACAGGGAAATGTTACATTCACCTCAGAATTCTTGAAGCACTTTTCTTGTATATAACAATGGCCTGTAAAAAGAAAAATAGGTTTTATTTCGTGAAAAACACAGTATTATTTATAATATTATATATTTTTGGCCTTACCATCTTTTATTTGCCAAACAGTTTTGTTGCTATATGCATCGCAGATTCTGCAATCTTTGTTTGACTCGGTACTCCCATGTTTTATGCAAGTTCCATTTATTATGCAGTATTCTGCAAAAAATAAGCAAATAATATTTCAAAGAAGCCTCACTTAAATTATTGACTTGGTTTCTTCTTTATTTTAATTTTTTATGTAATCACATGCTGAAGCAAGACTGAGAAGGAAATGAAAAAAGGCAGATAAAGTATCTCTGTATATTTTTATCGTGTAAATTAATTCCAAAATCAGTACAGGTAATACTTGTTAACTAGGTTGAATCAGAATCTGAGAAGATATTTATTTCACTTGTTGTTGTTTCCTATTCTGTTTCTGCTTAACAAAGTGTAAACTTTATTAAGTTTCAAACGTTTTCGATTGCTATAGTTTGTTTTCATAGGCTTTACCTTGATGGAAGGACCAAGTGTCCATACTGAGTGACGTGTTACAATACAAACAAGGTTTGGCATCATTTTTCTGTCCGTCAGCAATGCAGGAACCATCAATGTTACAGTACTCTTTAGCATAAAGATACAATATTTATGGGGTTATAGAACTACTAAGATTGAATTCAGCAGAAGTTTTTATAATTGCAAGCGTATTAATCCTTTTTCCTTTAAATCTCTAATGAAAATAATAGTCGCTTCAAGAAGAATAAATTATAAACATATCTTTATTTTGTCAATAAAATTAATGAAATGTTTTTGTATGTCCTATTACTTGGTACTTGGAGAACTTAATAATGGTTTGATTGATGAATGGATTTGATGATATTTCCAAAAAGTACAATATTGTACCTTTTCACAGTGTAAATTAGATTAGCAGTTCTTGTCTTTACAGACAAATACATGCCTATATGGATTTATTTACCTTCGTTTGGTGAAAATTCATAAACATCCCGATATGAGTTGCAAATCTGACAAGGAAATGATACATTTACTTCCATATTCTTGAAGCAGTTTTCTCGTATATAGCAGTAGCCTAAACAAAGATAGTTTTTGTTAATTATGTGAATTACATTGCAACAATTCTAAAAAAAAAAAAATTAAAATTGCATGATATATTTCCTTTGCATTACCATCTTTTATTTGCCATTCACTTTTGTGTGTGTATACATCGCAGATTCTGCAATCATTGTTCGGTTTGGAGCTCCCATGTTTAATGCAGCTCCCATTTATCATGCAATAATCTGTAATGAATGTTATGAATTCAATAAAATGAATTATAACAGTAAAAGGCAAAGGTTAAAATATTTTATTGAACTATATTTAATAGATCTTTTCCAGCAGGCAAAGATGTGCATATGTATGAATGATATATTTTGTAAAAGATAAAAATCATTTAATTGTATTGCAATTCGATATGGATTATATCATTAGTAGGATTTCTTTCCAATTTTGCTACTTTTACTTTGCCTCTGGCTTTTCGTAACATTAGTGTCACATGGATAACGTCATACTTCAGCAGTTAAGACATGGCTTAACAATTCTGAGAATGCTTAGTAAATATTGATTTTAGGATCATTTTTTGAAAATTTGTTACAATTTTAGGATCTTTTAAGATGGTTTATCTACTCCTTCTATCTAAAAACAGGCATAAAAGTATTTTCTACATCATTGATTATGAAGAAAAGACGAAGTAGAGTTTTGTCGTATTTCTGATATTCTTTCATACATGTACCGTGATATTTAATATCACGTTTATTCAATAAAGATTTTTTTTACAGTATTTCATTATTGAATATAAAATAATTGCAAAAAATCATTCGATATCTCTAAAAAAAATGAAAAGTAATCGATCCCATATTTATTCTAATCACAAAATGGAATAACCAGATGCTGAGATTTGTTTTCTGTGTCTTTACCTTGATTGAAAGACCAGATGTCCCGGCTTAGTGACGTGTTACAGTACAAACAAGCCTTGGCATGGCTTTCACTTCCATTAGGCACACACAGACCATCAATGTTGCAGTATGCTTGAGATTAACAACCAAAATCACTTATGTCCAGTTCTGAATCAAGTTTTAGTTTGTATATTCTATACTTGATTAATTAACTTCTTTTTTCAAAGTAACTAAACCAGTCCTGATTTGGTTACATAGTAATTTTAAATGAGGTATTACAGCAGTAAAAGTAAAAATAGAAATAAAAAGCTTTGTAATCATATGTACTTTCCAGCAAAATATCTATAAACAATGTCTTATACATATTAACATTTACATATATGAGCAAGTGATTACAATTAACGAGTAGATTAATTGACACTCTGCATTAAAATGCATTATTTTTCTTGTAAAAGAATTCAAAGCTTAGGGCTTCTTGCAAATTTAAAATTTATGGGAAAATGCATAAGAAAATTATATCACTATATATACACATCATGGCACGTAAATTATTACTGAATATTTATACCTTCATTTGATGAAAATTTGAAGATTTCTCTCGATGAATTGCATATCTGACAGGGAAATGTGGTATTCACTTCCGAATCTTTAAAACAGGTCTCTTGTATATAGCAGTGTCCTTTAAAGATATATACAAATGTATAAATTTATAATATACAACGTGAACAAAATTAAACAATTGTTATTGTTCATAAGTAGCATGGATATGTTTACCATCCTTTATTTGCCAAAAGCTGCTGTTGCCGTATGCATCACAAACTCTGCAGTCTTTGTTCTTTTCGCTATTCCCATGTATAATACAATCTCATCAATCACACAGAAGTCTATAAAACGCCATTTTATAGAATACAATTATAAAAAGAAAAAGTAATATTTTGCATCCATTTAAAGGCTTACTCCTTAGCAATGAATTACTAGGTATAAAAGATATAGTCCTTAAATATTTCTCTAATTGCAATAAAGACATCTTTTATTTAAAGAAAAATACTAGTTATTATTGCAGAAATGCTTTTACAGTGTATTCATCTAGTTTTGGAATCTATTGTTAATGTCAGAATGACAGTAAGAAAATAAAAAAAGTATTTTTTTTTATTTTTTGCTGAAAAAATTAAATTTTACCATGTTATTGATTGATCAATAACAACTGTTTTTCAATTTGTTTTCGTTTTCCGTTGGTTTATCCTTGTTACAATATTTTACTCATATTTGACAGTCAATAATATCGGAATGAAATATTTTATGTCGTATAAAATCTGAAATCAATACATCTTAGATAATGAGATTTTTTTTTTAAGTTAATTGACTTTTATTCCATGTTTTATGGGAAAACAAGTTTTGATTCTCTTTTTTTAAATCATGTTTGCAATAAAATTTACCTTGGCGCAATGACCATCTTTCTCTGTTGTTTGTCGTGTTGCAATAAAAACAGGACTTTATATCATTTTCCTGGCTATTGGCTACACATATATCATCGACATAACAGAATGCTAAAAAAATAAACAAAAGAGATTAAAAATCATTTTCAATCCAGTTAATAGGGTATAAACTTATCAGATTTATTCTAAACTCATCTAGATATGTTTTTTACTCCAAAAGATCACTGCAAAACGCTTTAATCACAGTATTTACGTTGTATATTTTTGATTATTTTTTTTGTAACATATACCCGAGAAACAGAGCTGTTTCTCTTAAATCGTTTCCCTAATTAAATACATGTGTGTATATTGCTCTCGATTATTGATGATACTGTAAGTTTGTATAAAATGAATCCCTGATTTTCTTCCCAATCTTTCGAATATTCTACTGCAAACACATCATTTTGAATCGTTATCTAATATAAAACGACTTAATTATAATACACATGATTAAGTGGTTGAAAACTCAACAATGGTATGTCAATATTTAATACATTTTTACGCTATTTATAAAGAATTCTTAGAGTAATTGATACAGATTCCAAACATATCTGAAAAAGAGTAAATAATTTTCAATGTTTCTATAAGAGACTCCCCACTTACATCAAGAATTAAGGAACTACAATCTGCCAGTTTGTCTGCATCCCTTTTGAATATCGATTACCTCAGAAAAATTACCACTTTTATTAACAGTGGCTTTAGTATCATTGTAAAAAAAGTGTAACCAATTTTCTGACAGAAGGGCCAATTTTTTTTTAAAAAGCAAGGTTTCTTGTATGAAGTTCAAGGGAAGAGAATCAAAAGCTTTCTCAAAATCTATCTGCATAAAAGTTGTGGAATATTTTTTCTTCTGTAAAATACATTCTATCATAAATCAATCTTATGCTTTCTCCTATATATCTGTTAGAGATAAAACCAGTTTCGTCAGGATTAAGTATTTCATCTAAATATTTTTTTTAAAACTGTTTGAAATGGAAACCAGATGCTAGTTTATATACAGTATCACAAATGTCATATTTATAACTTGGTAACTGTTATATATATATACTAAAGTTATAAATGAAATATTATTTAATACAACAGGTTATTAAGAAAAAGCCATGATCGGTGAGTTATGATATCATTCAGTAAAAACTGATTTTCCAAACATAATTTTTTAGGCATGATTATTTTTTTTTTAGGAAATCTGAATACTTTACTTATCGTAATCGTCAGGTAAATACAGTAATGACTTGTTTTATACTTTTTTTCAGTATCTTTATCTCATTTTAAAATCAGTTACATGTATGATTATTATTTCAAAATTTTTATAATTTTTATTTTAAAATAAAACAATTTTCTAGCTAAGTCTCATGTTTACCAAGATTTGGAGACAAGGAGTACAAATTTGCTGATGTATTACACATAAAACATTGGTTTATTTTGTCTGACACTCCATTCTGCATACAGGAATCATTGATGAAACAGAACCCTACAAAAAAAAATACTAAAATGTAATTTACCGTATATACTCGCCTATAAATCGGTGTGCCTTTAAGTCGGTTGTATTTTTGGAGGTTCGTTTGGAGGAATTTGCCATTGATCCACTTATAAGTCGGTTTTACTTTTTGCCAGAATCATTTGACATTTAAAATCAATGCACTGATGTTAATTTTAGCTGTTTTTATTAATATTTTTCAATTTTACGCCAATATTTAGTTTTAATTTCATTAAACAAATAATTTATACACAAAATAAAAACTATAATAGTAAGTGAATACTTGCAATCAAATATATATTTATGACTCACCTATAAGTCGGATATAGAGTTTAGGACTTATATTTAACTCACGACATACCGACATATAGGCGAGTTTATACGGTAGTCAGAAATGAAATATTTTATTCTCCTAAAATAGCACACATATGATGTGTTTGAATAGTTTGGGATACTTTGAAAAAAAATAAGAATCAATATTTAAGAAAAGATCAATCCATAAATTTAGCTCAACTGAAGCATTGATTACTTCATATTAAAAAAAATTGTTTTTTTTTTATCATTTTGAGGTTAAAACTGCAAAATTACGAATAGCTAATATAACAAATTTAACTACATTAGATAAGAAACTTGTTTAAAGGGGATTGAATATCCCTATTTTTTTTTTTTTTTTTGCATTCTTTTGTCCGTATTGAAAACAACAGTTAAAGAGCATACAATGCTTTAAAAAAATTAAAAATCTCTGAAAACCATTAAAATCGCTCATTTGTGTTTTTACAATGAATAAATCATTCGTTTTCTTTAGCATATAAATAAAGGGTTTAAAAAAAGAAAATCATCAGCAAAATTTAATTAAGTATTCTGTAACAAAGAATTATTTTTTTAGAACGATATAACATATATTTTAAGGCTATAAAAGGCCAGCAATATAAGATGTAATTGCATTGTCAAACATGCATTTCTTTTTTAAATCATGCATATACGTTTTGGAATTTTGATTTTTGAAATTCACTGAAGTAGATTGAAGATTTCTGTAGAAAAAGAAATATTACCTGGGTCCAATGACCAGCTACCTCTGTTTATTTTTGTGTTGCAATATAAACAAGATTTATTGTCGTTCTTGGACGCATGAGCAACACAAAGTCCATCAATATCACAGTAACCTTTAAAAAAGTTCAAAAACGTTTAGATCAGAATGAAGCAGTTTTTAAAAAAGGACGTTTGTGAATAACTTAATTGAAAAGTAATAAACAATAATAACCAATTCAGTAACATAATCATTTAAAAACATTTACAAGGGTGAGAAGTCTTTGCTTTGATTTCCATCACACTAAAAAAAAGTTTGTGATTCCCTCAGAAAAATAGGTTAATTTAATGAAAAACTCAAGATCATTTAGACCAAAAATCATTCTTGATAAATAAACCATTTAATTATATTAAAAACCCATTTCATTATTATTAATTCCCTTTCGCAGTTTGCAAAGGGTTAAAACAGTCAAACCAAACTATGAGGACTTGGACTTTAAATTAAAATAATTATTGAAAAGGAATAATACCAGGATTATGAACTAAAGAGCCTCGGCTGGTGGAGATGTTGCACATCAGACAGGGATTGTTTTCTTCCCATTTCCCATCTTGTATGCAAGTATCATTAACAAAACAGTACCCTGTAGTTAAAAAAATAATACATTTGTTACTAATTTTATAACTAGGGTTTTTGAAAATCAGTTTATGTTGGCTTGCCCTCTCCTGTCTCATGACTAAATTATTGAAAGACAAGATTAGATTTTTTATTGAAACACTAAGACTGAATTGTTTAAATAAGTACATGCATATGCATTATTGAGAACAGATAACGATGACATGAATAAGAAATATTCCCTTGAGGTTTAAATAGAAATGACTTGGACCGCTTTTCTTTAGTCGATTGAGCGAGGGCAAACCGTTATCTTTTTTTTAAATGACGTCATTGAAATGTTTTTGAATTTCGTCGAGAGCAAGGTGTATGCAAATATGTGCAAATTGTTTTTACCTTGGTCCAGTGACCAACTTCCTCTGTTAATTGACGTGTTGCAATACAAACAAGATTTATTTTCGTTCTTTAACGCATGTGCAACGCAAAGTCCATTAATATCACAGTAAGCTACAAAAAAGAAAAAAAAAACGTATTTCATATGAATATTATTTTAGAGATAACAGGTGGATTTTTCTTTTAAAAATATCATAGTGAAATCCTATACAAAACATAAATAAAGAGCAAACGATCTGAATTTCATGTTTTTTGTATGAACAAAAATATGTTTGGTGAAGCAAAATAACTAAACGTTAAGTACATTTTTCAGGCCAGTAGAGAAACAATAGGATAACAGATTAAGAACCGACATTGAAATACGGTGTTAAGTTGTAAACACAATGAAGCTTCGGGAAGTCTTAAACTTGCTGCAAGAATACACAAATAAACCATTTGTTGTTTGTCATTAGATGTTTTAATGAATTTCAAGTACTATTTATATTAAATTCAAAAACTTCGTAAATATCCTTACAAAAAAATACATAGCAAAGTGTAGTATATGTACTATTAAGCCTCTTTCTTTACTCCTTAGTAAGGTATTAACAATAGTGAAGGACAAACTTCAGAAGTATTGTGCAACAATAGACCGGTATTCTAATTGTGGTGAAAATCAGATGTTGGTACTTAAACATTCCAAGGAACTTTTTAATCCATTGAAATTACAAACTTAAACCAAAGTCAGCAACATAAAAACTTTCGAATTTTCACACTTATTTAAAACAACCCCTTCTATAAATTAAAGTCCAGTCTTTCACTGACAGCTGTTTTTTCAATATAAATGGACTTTGTATATTCACTCCCCTTGTCACTGGTCATTTGCAAATTTATTTTGTTAAAACCATTTTGAATGTACACACAAGAGCTTTAAATTTGATATTAAGAATATGTTCTAATTTGTTATTGACATTATCTATGTGGATTTGGGAGACCAAGTCTTCAAAAATCTATTTGATATACCATGGGTACTTATTGCGCCCCGTTATAATAAGCTGAATTAACTATGTTTGCATTCATGTACAATTTTGAAAAAAATTTAAAGACGTTTATGGTTATTTTTCAACAATGATTAACGGTAGACTTAAACTTTTCAATCGTAAATTTCTCTTACTTGTGCAGCAATATTAATACAGCCTTGTCACTTGTATATGGAATTTACATCTCTCAGTTGATTTTATACAAAAGAGCATCTTCTGCGCGTGAACAATTTGTAAGTTACTAACAAACATTTTGATAAAGCATTAATATCAGCAGTCTTGTTTAAAGTTCTCATTCTGTAAGTTCTACGGTCGATACAATGACCTTGTCAGAAAATACAGTTAATCATTAAGTCAAATGCGGACATGATTTTTTTTTTCATACTGATTGATAAGCCATTATTTACACACAGAATTGTTGACGGATTTTTTTTTCGGTTTTCCGAGAACATGAGATGGAGCACTAAGCAAATGACACCTGACACCAGTTAACAGGGAATGCTTACTCCTCCATGGCACCTGATTCCTCTACTGAAGTTTTGGAGGTTCGTGTTTGCTATGCCTTTTTTGTCATGTTTAATGGACTTTTGACTTCAACTACTGCTTGTTACCTCAAAATATTCATAAAATTAATTTTGTCATTTACAATACCTTTTTAGGTAAGAAGAAAAGAGGCAAAACAGAACATGATTTGAAATTATAACTGACAAAATAAATTTTACCAGGATTTGGCTTCAGAGAGTCAATGCTGACAGATATGTTGCAAATCAAACAGGGGTTATTTTCTTCCGACTCCCCGTCTTGTATACACAAATCATTGACAAAACAATATCCTACAAAAAAAATAATACATGTATTTCATTTTCCTTAATAGGCAATGTCGTCAAAAGTTTGTTTTGTTTAACTACTCTTTATGAACAGATAAAAGCATAGTTATATTCAAACGATAATTGTTCTATTAAATAACTTACTTGTGATATTGTATTGTGGACAAAGGAAAAAAAACAGGGAAATGATTTATTATATGTTGTTTAACGTCCCTCTCGAGAATTTTCACTCTTTTTGAGACGCCGCCTCTTGCCGGCAGAGAGCTGCAAATTTTGTCCTCGGCATTTAGGGCCATTAAGGAATGAGGGGTCTTTTTCGTGCAAGCACCTACAGGGACATGGGACCTCGATTTAAACGATCTGATTCGAAGGGCCCACCTCCACGTCCCACAGTGGGATTCGAACCCACGATGTAAGGATCAACTACTTACATCGCTATTCTAGAGCAGACTCTCTAATCACTGCGACACATGGACTACGAATATGGGAAAAAAAAGAAACACTCTCAAATAAAAAACGCATTTTACCAGAACTCAAGGTCCAGTTAGTCCTGCTTTGAATGGGATCACATATCAAACATCTGCTTATTAAGTTACTCTCCCCCGCTTTATAGCATTGGTCATCAATTAGACAATGACCTAGTAAAATGAAAAAAAAAATATTTAATTTTTGCAATTGCTATCTGAAATATTAAAAATCAGCATTAAAAATGCATTTTTATCCTTAATGATTTCATATTAATTATATATTGATAAAAATATTGGGAGAAATCTATCATAGTCATTTATGCTTGCTGTTCAATCAATTTCCTTGATCTGAATAAAAAAATTTTAACTAACTTTATTGACAAAAATTATATCTACCTTCATTGAATGTCCATTCTGTCCTGTTCCGTGTGTAGTTACATTTGTAACAATCGTTGTTCTTTTGAGTCTGGTCATCAAAGTAGCAAATGCCATCAATGTAACAATATCCTTTAAAAAAATTGTTTCATAAATAAAGAGGTACAAAACAATAAACTTAAGATGAAAAAAATTGAAATGTACACTTCAAGTCTAAGATTTTACTGTAACAAACCTAGAAAATTGTCATGATATTATAACTGATCTATACTCGTAAAGATGAAAACGGTATATTATACTGAAATACCTGGGTTATTTGACCAGTTCCACTTGTCTACAGAGGAAAGACATGCACTGCAGGGATTTGTCTCCCTTATTTCTCCGTTCATATAACACTTGTCATTTATCAAACAATGATCTAAAATAAGAAGTTTTTTTCTCCTTTTTTAATGTAAAAATTATATATATAATTATTCGAAAAGACCAATATATTGTAGTTACTGTTTTCAGTTGAATAGTTTGGAAAAAAATCGTTTAATGTCTAACTTACAAATATACACTGTACACATAAGTTCAATGTTTCCAGCTATCCAAAGATAACATTTCGATACAAACCACAATAACTTTATGCAATTCCTCAATAAAAAGTACCAAAATGTACGATCACTCCCAATGTCCAAAAAAATTAATTTATGCCCTGTTCACACGGAGAGTTTGATTCGCAGTAAAATTAAATTGCGTTCACACGACAGCTAAAAGCGAAGTAAACTAAAGGCGAATAAAAATTTTATTTCTACAAAAATTCTAGTCAGAAAAGCTATTATCACGTCATTTGTAAATCAAGTCACGAATGCAGAGCCATCTCTTTGATAGTGGCCATAGGTATACAATTCATGATGAGTTAACATACTTTTCCTTGGTTTTTGAACAAAATATAGCACATATACCTATATCTAACCATAACACGTGTCCTGTGACTTAAATCTATCCTAAATCTAGCCTAGTCTAGCGTCAAAATTTAATTCGAATTAGCTTCGCTAAGCTCACATGGAGCTAATGCGAAGTTATTTCATGCGCAGTAAGTAATTCGAATTCAACTAATTCGCATTAAATTCTCCGTATGAACGCTAAGCAAAGCTAAATCGCAGTAACTTTACGTTTAATTCAAATTAAACTCTCCATGTGAATAGGGCATAGATATTTTTAAAAAAATACCTGGATTGAATGACCAACTATATCTGTCCTGAGTGACATTGCACATATCACATTGGTTGTCACGATTTGTGCCTCCGTCTATATAACATCTCCCTTTTATAAAACAGTAGCCACTCTAAAACATGGATATATTGACATTTGATCGCCAAAACTAATACATTTTATCAGAACACATAAATACATTAAACATCACAAGTAAGAGCACTGTAATGATTATGTGAAAAATATGAAGCAATTAAATGAATAGATGGTTAAAAAAATACCTTCAGGGAAAACGTGATGTTTCCACTGATATTTTTATACTCTTGACAGTCCGATTGAAATATGTACACATTAAAAGAATCAGTGAATCTAACTCCATCGTTTGAGACATTAAATGTAAATTCTGTCATCCAATGGAATTCAGTACTGTATGACAAAGGACAATACCCTTCAAATAGTGTTCTTGGTTCCAAATTGCTTTGAAAAAATATCTCTGAATGCGTTCCATCTAGCTGAATCTAAAATGTAGATAAAGAATCAAATTAATCTAATTGCTCTCTCTCTCTCTCTCTCTCTCTCTCTCTCTCTCTCTCTGAAATGAATGAATATAATGGACATTATTATATACTATATTTATAGTCTCTGTATAATCTTTACAAACACAAACAGAACCGTAAATCTGAAAATTTTTTACTGTAGATAAGTTGTATTCTAACTCTGCTAACTAATGTGAAAGATAAAATGATATGAAAATAGGCAGTACTCTTTATTTCTAGCGCTGATGACAAACTAAATTCGCAAAAAATAAATCGACGTGAAAATGTCCTTATTTACTGTATAGAGTTGTTGACTAGGGTAGAGGGAAACAAACAATCTGTTCTACCGGAATGAAAGCAATTGCCCAAGACCTTTTGCCGCTGTCAACAGTTTGCACTCCAAGTCAAACAGATCGACTGTTTCCCGATAGTCCTGTCAATAATTGTTTTAGAAAAGTCCTTTGGCAAATAAAAAGATAACTCAGTTAGAGCTGTTTGACGTAAGCGGACTTTAAAACAATTTCTGGACCGATAGTCGAAAAAAAACAGCCGAACTAGCTGTTGGACTTTTAAAGTAAAAAATTATGTATGGACTGCTTAGTATATGTATAACGATTCATAACATACTACATTTTCACTGGATTTGAGACCGTTTGTTTTCACTGTAGGGTAAATGCACGTGCAGCGTCATTGTGACGCCACAATCAACAACTCAATGTTGACAGTAAACAATGATCGTAATGCCACCTATGTATCTGAGCAGGAAAAGTATTAGAAAAAGATATCGCAAGCTTATATTTGAACATTTGGACGCTTACATTTAGCGAAAGAAAAACACGGTGGTGACAAACTGTTATCTGTATTTTTATTTCAATTTTCAACTACCGAGGTTCGCAAATGAAAACGTTGTCCTTCTACAGCCTTCAATGTCATATTTATCTAAATCCGGATTATATTTTAAAACAATAATGGACTCCGTGGAATTGAATATCGTTTGTTATTTACCAGAAAAATATCAATGTTAACCTCGGTTTCGTCTCGGTCAGTGGTCAAAATTGATATTTTTCCTGGTGAATAACAAACAATTATTATCACTAAGAGTCCATTATTGAATATTATTCAATGCAAATATTTGGAGCAGAGCAAACATCAGGGTTGGGATGATGTGGAAAAGGGCAGTGAGCATTGAAAGCAAAACGGTCAGACCACCGTGTGCTCTTTTCATGATAGGGAAATATCTTGAAAATTCGTCGACGATTCGGTGTGTAATTCATGGCCAAACATTATATAAAAAACAACTTCAGTCAGTCAGCATTCCACTCATTGATAGAGTGTGCATGAATATGCTGACATTCTGTTCTCATTCAATATGTATGACTGTGATGACCAAGGTTAAATTTATTGAGACAGATAGACAGACTGACATACAAATGTACATATTTCTATGTGAATTGGTTAAAATTGGCTTAGAATATTTACTACCGTTCTTCTTGTAATGTAGCAATATGTATTCATCTTTTCTAAAAACAGTTCTCTATACAAAGTTATTTCATCGCATTCTTCGTACGACTTGTCACAGAAACCAAAGTCTGAGATGTGCTTTATACTCGGAGGTCCAAGTAAATCAAAAGAACAATCACTTCCGGCAAAGTTTTCTTCACATGTGCAATTTCCTGAAAATGACATATTTTTTACATGTTTTATAAAAACAAAAAAGTGACCCGTACGTATCTTTTATATAAAATATAAATTCTTCAATATAGGATTTCCATTGTCTGTTGTTAAATGATGCTTTTTTATATCAATCGAATTCTGTGCTTATATTCCCGAAGCTTGGTAGGAATTTAGAGCTCACAAATAGCTCGGTGAATAAAAAGCATATTTTACAACAAATATATATTTTTATTAAAAAGTATTCAAACAAAAATATTTCAACCATTTTGATCATTAAATTCCAACAATTAAAAGGAAAAGAACACATTAGTGTACTAAAAGTTACATGAAGCTATCGAGGGTGTAGATGTCATAAAATATAATTTCTGTCATTTTGAATTTTAAATTGGCTGAAGATATTTTGACTGGGAAAATACTAAGTTTATTGTTCAATTAGTTTTGTTTAGTACTATATATATTTTTTTTTTACAAAAAAGATCAATTTATACTTGATTTCATTGACTAGAAAGTTTTGTTCCTTGTTTTATTTTGTTTATGTTCTCTTTCTGTATACCATGATGTAAAACAAAAGAAGTACATATATTTTCAGAAAATTACCCAGGGGTCATTAGCATGGAAAATGGGTCATGACCTAGTTTTTTAACTTGAAAAATAACGTTTATGTTAAAATATTATTTAACATTACAATTATAAAATTTAATCTACAATGCCCCTGCATAATGGTATCTATTTAATTCTATCGCGAGTGGACATTTTTAGTGTATTTTTTAATAAGTATGAAGAAAAAATGCATATGCACTTGGCTTTCATTACACAAAATGATAACATTAAACAAAAATGTTTTCAAACTTTGAATGGAGCCCCCTCTTACTTTTTTCAATATAAACAAATATATCACACACTTAAAAGCAAACTAAATGCATAGGTAGGTAATTTTTATTATATCTTTATAGTGAAATATTATATATTTTAATATATCTCCTTTTTTAATGTAAACTGATACTCAGTAATACCAGTATTTCAAAAAAGATAATTCTAATTATGTAGTTTTTTACATATTAAATTATAATTGCTTGTTAAGAACACTGATTGGTCACTATATGTACTCGATTAACTACAAAAATACCACCCATTACACCAGATTCCAATAACTGATCAAGATTCTCCCATCCCTACCACCCTGATCATTTAAAACACATATTACCTTCATGACATTCACCATTCCCACTACAGTTATTTGGACAAAGTGATTCAATAATGTGTGTTACGTCAGGTCTCTCTTCCTGAAAGGTCGAATTGAACAGAACAAGACTGGAACATTGCTCTAGAGCTGCTTCTATGTGAATCTTTGTTATGTTATTGTCACCCGTCATCTTTAAAAGAAAACAAACATTGCAACTTTTTTTTTAAATTTGCCGCAAAATTGAAACAGAGGGCAATATATGTATCTGTACTTGTATCCGTATTTTTTTTTATTTAACTATGAAATATCTGTTTCCAATGCGTATATAGATTAATAATCATGACGTCGATGTCCTATGCTTTTTTATGCAAACATAATCTAGAAAAGAAATGAGAATTAATTATTTTAGAAAATGCAAATTAAGAACATGCGAGGTCTGCCCGAGAAAAATACATGCATTTCAAATATATATATATTTTTTTGGTTCAACTAATATTATGAAGTTATTATTTGCATGACAGCAATATTCTTAATTTTTACTTTAATCATAATTTTGTTTGATACATTTTTACTTTAATCATAATTTTGTTTGATACAATAACACCCAAATAAAGTTCAAATAATATAAATATGTACCATCACATCCGAAATGCAGTTGTGAACAGCAGTATTGCTTATATCAGGATCATATTGTCTACAGGTAGCAATCGAATCCGTTTCCTCAAAAGCTTTGATGCAAATATCTTCTGCTTCTTTCTCTGTTCTAACATCGTAAATTTGTCTTTTGCTCCTTGTCTAAAATTGATAAAATAAATCTAATAAAGGTTTCCAAAAAGGTATTATTCAAAATTACTAAAGAGATAACATCATTACATGTACCCAGAGGTAAATTTGGTTTTCATTTGTAACAGGAATTTCCATGATTTTTGTGAGATGCGACAAATCTCGTTTCTTTCTTTTGGACCCGTCAGGGTATACCGAGCACTCAAATGGATTCCCTCTTTTGAATTTACAATTTTCAACTGTACCATAACTACAATCAATCCTAGATTCCGTCCTTTCATAAACACCACAATATTTGACTTTTCCTTCCTTTACTTCACAAGTGCAAGCTTTAGTGAGGGTATCCGACACAGATTTGAATTTTGTGGTCTTGATATTGCTATGGCTGAACAAATCCTCACTGGCAAGTATTCTGTAAGCATAGATAATACATTGCGTAAGTGGATTAAACTTTCACTAAGTATATCATGTGCAGCTTTGTACTTTGCATTTTGTACTTTTTGTCACATATTGTCGAAAATACATATATACATAATCTGTACTCTTAACAGTATTGAATTCTAAATGAAACATATGGAGATAAACAATTTCTACAACGAAGAAAATAATTGATAAACAAGTTGATGAAACAAGAGTTTCAGCTGTCTCCTTTAAATTCATCATTTCGTAAGTTCTATGGTCGAAACATACACATTGACCTTGTCAGCAAATTCAATTTATCATTGAGTCAAATGTTGACAGACGTATTTCATACTAATTGTTGGTCCATTATCTATACACTGAATTGACGACGGATTTTCCCGTTATTTCCATGTCAAGGAGCACACGGGTGTGACCGGCAGGGGATGCTCACTCCTCCATGGCACCTGATCTCACCTCTGATGGTTTGGAGGTCCGTGTTTGCTTTACTCCTGTTTTGTATTATTTTATGAACATTTGGTCTTGAATACTGTCCGTTATCTCCATATGTTTCATTCTTATATACCAATTTCAGAAAAAAATGACAAATGAAAAAAATGTAAGTATATATTGGGGATGTCAATTTTACTCGGATAGCTTAGTCAAATAGTCGAATGCTTTAGTCGAACGGTAGTCGAATATTCGTTTAATTTTAATTATTTTTTCATATCATTTTCACTGTTTGTCTTTTATAAACTAGTTTACAATATCTAATATATGTTTTTACCATTATAAAACGAATTTCTGAATCGTAAATACGTACGTAGCACAATAAAAACTGCATGTACATCAATATGTATACAATGAATTAAATTTCAAAATTAATATATTAGCTGCACATTTTATCCACATGTACCCCAGAATTGAAGCCAATTAATTTTTATGTGCCCGTCAGTGATCTTTCACAGGTAAAGAATTAAAGCATGTTTCTGATAAAAACAAAGAGAGAGCGAGAGTTTGGGATAAATTTTAATTATGAAATTTGGTGCAAAGAATCAATGATTGTATGAAATTACTATCAGAAAAAAACAGTTTAATAACTCTCATAACTGACCCCAATTGACATGTATTTACAATTTTGTGATAGCTATTTGATTAGAATTCTTTCTGAATATAGTTGTGTCACGCCAGATCTTAGTTTAAATCTTCCATTTAAAACAGTAAGAGGTAGACAATCATATGAAAATGACATGTTTGATTTTCTTAAGCACACAAATAGCTCGGTGAATAAAAAGCATATTTTACAACAAATATATATTTTTATTAAAAAGTATTCAAACAAAAATATTTCAACCATTTTGATCATTAAATTCCAACAATTAAAAGAAAAAGAACACATTAGTGTACTAAAAGTTACATGAAGCTATCGAGGGTGTAGATGTCATAAAATATAATTTCTGTCATTTTGAATTTTAAATTGGCTGAAGATATTTTGACTGGGAAAATACTAAGTTTATTGTTCAATTAGTTTTGTTTAGTACTATATATATTTTTTTTTTACAAAAAAGATCAATTTATACTTGATTTCATTGACTAGAAAGTTTTGTTCCTTGTTTTATTTTGTTTATGTTCTCTTTCTGTATACCATGATGTAAAACAAAAGAAGTACATATATTTTCAGAAAATTACCCAGGGGTCATTAGCATGGAAAATGGGTCATGACCTAGTTTTTTAACTTGAAAAATAACGTTTATGTTAAAATATTATTTAACATTACAATTATAAAATTTAATCTACAATGCCCCTGCATAATGGTATCTATTTAATTCTATCGCGAGTGGACATTTTTAGTGTATTTTTTAATAAGTATGAAGAAAAAATGCATATGCACTTGGCTTTCATTACACAAAATGATAACATTAAACAAAAATGTTTTCAAACTTTGAATGGAGCCCCCTCTTACTTTTTTCAATATAAACAAATATATCACACACTTAAAAGCAAACTAAATGCATAGGTAGGTAATTTTTATTATATCTTTATAGTGAAATATTATATATTTTAATATATCTCCTTTTTTAATGTAAACTGATACTCAGTAATACCAGTATTTCAAAAAAGATAACTCTAATTATGTAGTTTTTTACATATTAAATTATAATTGCTTGTTAAGAACACTGATTGGTCACTATATGTACTCGATTAACTACAAAAATACCACCCATTACACCAGATTCCAATAACTGATCAAGATTCTCCCATCCCTACCACCCTGATCATTTAAAACACATATTACCTTCATGACATTCACCATTCCCACTACAGTTATTTGGACAAAGTGATTCAATAATGTGTGTTACGTCAGGTCTCTCTTCCTGAAAGGTCGAATTGAACAGAACAAGACTGGAACATTGCTCTAGAGCTGCTTCTATGTGAATCTTTGTTATGTTATTGTCACCCGTCATCTTTAAAAGAAAACAAACATTGCAACTTTTTTTTTAAATTTGCCGCAAAATTGAAACAGAGGGCAATATATGTATCTGTACTTGTATCCGTATTTTTTTTTATTTAACTATGAAATATATGAAATATCTGTTTCCAATGCAATTCGTATATAGATTCATAATCATGACGTCGATGTCCTATGCTTTTTTATGCAAACATAATTTAGAAAAGAAATTAGAATTAATTATTTCAGAAAATGCAAATTAAGAACATGCGAGGTCTGCCCGAGAAAAATACATACATTTCAAATATATATATTTTTTAGTTCAACTAATATTATGAAGTTATTTTTTGAATGACAGCAATATTCTTCATTTTTACTTTAATCATAATTTTGTTTGATACATTTTTACTTTAATCATAATTTTGTTTGATACAATAACACCCAAATAAAGTTCAAATAATATAAATATGTACCATCACATCCGAAATGCAGTTGTGAACAGCAGTATTACTTATACCAGGATCATATTGTCGACAGGTAGCAATCGTGTCCGTTTCCTCAAAAGCTTTGATGCAAATATCTTCAGCTTCTTTCTCTGTTCTAACATCGTAGATTTGTCTTTTGTTCCTTGCCTAAAATTGATAAAATAAATTTAATCAGAGATACCAAAAACGTATTATTCAAAATTACTAAAGAGATAACACCATTACCCAGAGGTAAATTTGGTTTTCATCTGTGGCAGGAATTTCCATGATTTTGTGAGATGCGACAAATCTCGTTTCTTTCTTTTGGACCCGTCAGGGTATACCGAGCACTCAAATGGATTCCCTCTTTTGAATTTACAATTTTCAACTGTACCATAACTACAATCAATCCTAGATTCCGTCCTTTCATAAACACCACAATATTTGACTATTCCTTCCTTTACTTCACAAGTGCAAGCTTTAGTGAGGGTATCCGACACAAATTTGAATTTTGTGGTCTTGATATTGCTATGGCTGAACAAATCCTCACTGGCAAGTATTCTGTAAGCATAGATAATACATTGCGTAAGTGGATTAAACTTTCACTAAGTATATCATGTGCAGCTTTGTACTTTGCATTTTGTACTTTTTGTCACATATTGTCGAAAATACATATATACATAATCTGTACTCTTAACAGTATTGAATTCTAAATGAAACATATGGAGATAAACAATTTCTACAACGAAGAAAATAATTGATAAACAAGTTGATGAAACAAGAGTTTCAGCTGTCTCCTTTAAATTCATCATTTCGTAAGTTCTATGGTCGAAACATACACATTGACCTTGTCAGCAAATTCAATTTATCATTGAGTCAAATGTTGACAGACGTATTTCATACTAATTGTTGGGCCATTATTTATACACTGAATTGACGACGGATTTTCCCGTTATTTTCCGGTCATGAAAAGGAGCAAATGGCAGGGGATGCTTACTCCTCCATGGCACCTGATCTCACCTCTGATGGTTTGGAGGTCCGTGTTTGCTTTACTCCTGTTTTGTATTATTTTATGAACATTTGGTCTTGAATACTGTCCGTTATCTCCATATGTTTCATTCTTATATACCAATTTCAGAAAAAAATGACAAATGATAAAAATGTAAGTATATATTAGGGATGTCAATTTTACTAGGACAGCTTAGTCAAATAGTCGAATGCTTTAGTCGAACGGTAGTCGAATATTCGTTTAATTTTAATTATTTTTTCATATCATTTTCACTGTTTGTCTTTTATAAACTAGTTTACAATATTTAATCTATGTTTTTACCATTATAAAACGAATTTCTGAATCGTAAATACGTACGTAGCACAATAAAAACTGCATGTACATTAATATGTATACAATGAATTAAATTTCAAAATTAATATATTAGCTGCACATTTTATCCATATGTACCCCAGAATTGTAGCCATTTAATTTTTACGTGCCCGTCAGTGATCTTTCACAGGTAAAGAATTAAAGCATGTTTCTGATAAAAACAAAGAGAGAGCGAGAGTTTGGGATAAATTTTAATTATGAAATTTGGTGCAAAGAATCAATGATTGTATGAAATTACTATCAGAAAAAAACAGTTTAATAACTCTCATAACTGACCCCAATTGACATGTATTTACAATTTTGTGATAGCTATTTAATTAGAATTCTTTCTGAATATAGTTGTGTCACGCCAGATCTTAGTTTAAATCTTCCATTTAAAACAGTAAGAGGTAGACAATCATATGAAAATGACATGTTTGATTTTCTTTCCCAATCTGCTTTTTTAACGGTTATACCATACCCTTATTTTACATATAAAAATATTGATCTGTAAATAAAGGAAATGGGCAAATCTAAGTTTATTACCTTAAATTCAAAATTACTTTGATGAAACACACAATTTTTAACGAAAAACAGACTAAAAACATTTAAGTCGATAGTCGGTATGATCGAACAATAGTCGTGTGCTCGAATATTCGTTGACATCCCTAGTATATATTTATGATGAATAAATACTATTTTTTTAAATAAACACCATTTTTCAGGCGAAAAATTTCAGGTTTATTCAAGTTATCAAAAGAGAGAATCAATATACAGTGCAATCACAAATTTTGATTGGGAGGGGGGTTAACTTTTTTGTTTTCGAGATGTGGATAGACCCACGAATTTATGTCCCCCACAAAATATAAAGTGATACATACATAATTACTCAACAATTCTTCATCAAAGAAATCATATCCTCACGGACCAAGAGTTTTCCCTCAAACCACGAAAATTTGAGCCCACGAAAATATGTTATTTTACAGTAAATAAGTGTTAAGATCAATTTATAAACCAGTCAAACTAAACAATGATGTTCGCTTGCTTACCGCCAGGATCTAAAGAATGCACGCGGTGGTGAGTGGTATCGAAAATTCTGAGGGTTATCAACATTTCCATCTCTCCTTGTTAGATCATTTTGTTGTGCACCATCCAAAACACCACATAAACCATTAGTATTGCCAACGTCTGGAGGCGAGGGGAATATCTTGACATTAATTTGAAAGACATTGTTATAAGGCCAAGCCACAATCAAAATTTCCACTAGAGTCCCAGTTGGAAATAGAACCTACAACAAAGATGACTTTTCAAGGAAATAAAAGCATAAACAAATAATAAATAAAATAGCAAAAACAAAAATCATTCAATACCTTAGTACGAAACTTTTTAGCTTTAATCTATAAATATTCAAGATTTGTCGAAATATTAATATCTAATTTACTTGACATTACATGAATACCTGGTAGTACTTGTCATTCTTCCTTATAACTTTAAAGGCTCTATCATCACAGAGAGGAAAATTGATAAATTGTGCCGTAACAGATGTTTACAGTGAAGATATCCCGTCCAGATCTTGCAGCTACAGCGCATGTGCATCTTGGATATGAGTAACGGGCATGACACCTATGATGTTTCACTTGTACCTTAAAAAATACTTGTCGATGTTTGAACTGTTTAGGATTGTAAAACATCTGAAGAAATGTAATAGAAGCGCTAATTCTTTATCTGGTCTAACATTGTTGTTATCGTTAAATATTATACGTATATATTGACCGAGTTCAAGGGCAACGTGCGTTTTGTCAGACCCAAGAACCAAACTGTCTGCCTGAGGCCGTGAGGCAGAAAATTTGGTTCGATGGTCGACAAACGCATTTTACCTGGGAACACAGTCAATAAAAAATGTTTTGTTATACCTTTCATTATTTTTTTTCTTTTTGACATACATGTAGAAGTATCTTGCACTGTCTTTTGTGATGTTAGCATCGGGTCTTTCACTGTCCAACGAATGTAAATGCACAAGTTCCGCCCATTGTGTGAAGTAAGCCGTCCAGCATCTCGTCGGCAGGTCCGACATTTCACCCAGCGGTCAAACATAATTTTTTTTTTATGCTCGCCAAGTAAAACATTGGAAATGTTAGATTTTGTTTTATACAGATTTGTTTAGGCACAATCTTTCAAAGGTATAACAAATACATATTTTTATTCTTTAAGCAATTTTAATACTCATGAGACTTAAACTATCCATATCTTTTTTTTAAAATGAAATTTACCTCTTGATTAAATTTTCTGTTATTATACAAAATAAACGTGCCTTCTTCTTGACACTCATACTTACTGAAAAAAAATCAGAATTTAAATCAAACAATGATAATTTTTACTATGAAAAGTAAACGTCATGCCGAGCTTAAAATAAGATACTTACTATCCATCAAACGTCAGCATATGGGGATCAGTATATGATCCACAGTGTTTCTCTTTCCATACAGGATCAGGTTCCTTTATGTATACCTAGATGTATATATTTAAATGTTAAATATTTTCAATAGACAAAAAGGGAAATTTTATCTATTGATTTTCAATTATATAATTTCCATGCCCACCAAAATCTCTTTATTTGGCCTAACATTGTTGTTATCGTTAAATATTATACGTATATATTGACCGAGTTCAAGGGCAAATTGCGTTTTGTCAGACCCAAGAACCAAACTGTCTGCCTGAGGTTGATAGAACGAAGGCAGGTAGTTTGGTTCGATGGTCGACAAACACATTTTACCCGGGAACAAAGTCAATAAAATGTTTTGTTATAACCTTTTATTATTTTGTTTTCTTTTTGTCATACATGTAGATGTTTCTTGCACTGTCTTCTGTGATGTTAACATCAGGTCTTTCACTGTCCAACAAATGCAAATGCACAAGTTCCCAGTAAAATAATTTTCATTGGTTTGGTTCAAAGGGCAAGGGGATAACAGTTATTTGATGGTTTTCATGTGGATATACAGATGAAAGTCTTTGGGGTGGGGGATGTACATGTATCTACATCTGCACCTTAATTAGGTCTAATTGCAAAATTTTGTAGAAAGTGTTTCTACCTCTGTGAGATTGCAATTAACAGGAAGTGGAAACTAGAAGATATTCGTATTTTATAAGATCTAGAATTGTTTTCTTAGCAATGAAAAATTTCACTTCCCTGGAGTAAAGGGGGATTAAATTTATTTGTCTAAATCTACCACTGAGGTCCATGATATATCTATTAAAACAATCTAAAGTGTCAAGTCATGTCCATGGAATATTTAAGATGCCATGATATTTCCAATGTTTTTTTTATATTGAAAAAGAATTGACTTTTATTTTCGTTATCTAAGAAACAGGGTCTTTCAGGAAACATAAGGTAAAAATCACAATCTAACAAGATAAAAAACATGATGTAGATAAAAATTAAATATAGAAGACCACATTCACTCGCCTGAATATCTTGCAAAAATATTCCATCAAATAGCCTGTTTGTTTTCCTATTGGCATTCCCAGTCTCAAGTCGCAATGTCACTTGCTCATTTACGGTTTTAACGTCTAGATCGTTCGTTTTATAAATTTTCATGATGTGGATATTTTTCCAGGCATCAGTGGAATACTTTTCACGCTCTTCATACGAGTATGATTTTATTGCAATACCACACTGTTGTCTGTCTTTACTTCTGCAGGAAGCTAAGTCGCCACTTGCACGTGCAAGACCAATGTCCAAACAACCAGGAGGAGACACACTATTTTTGTTCAAGACCGTGATTATTTCAGCAAAAGGTACGGTAAGTAGCAACTGAACATCTGCAGTGCCGCCTCTCTCTATTGTAAGATTTGTTGTTAAAACCTGTTGTCAAAATTAAAAGTAAATTAAAATTATCATATTATATTTAACTATTATCTATTCATTTTCAAATTTTGACTATTAGCTGAATATGCTCAAATTCACCCATTTTCCTCAAAATTGAAGAATGTTGCAATTTTACAATGTCTATTTTGCAATAACTGAATTTTCAAAGGATTTTTTTATGTGAAATGAAAGAACATACAAAATAGCTTTTGGAAAGAATAAATGTATTTTCTGAATATTTAACGAAAAATATGATGCAGAAAATGAGATATCTGGATTGTTTTATTCATGTATTTTTGATTGATTTTGATTTGAAATGACATAAGTAATAAAAACCTAAATTTAAAGAAATTGCATTTTTGGGCTTAGTTAGGTATGCAACCTGTTGTTGATTTAAATGTTTTTCTGTACAATTGTTTGTAGCTATTTCTTAACACGTGACAAAATCTTGAACGTGTCCTACATTACCTTGCAATTAAAATTCATGTTAAAATATGGAATGTATAAATATGACAAATATTTCTGAAAAAAGGAGTTTCTGTTATTTATTCTTAACAGATGTGATTACTATCGATTCCTTATTTTATGCGTGGAATTAATTATCACGTAATTTCGCAAGAAGCTCCAAACGCGAAATTAAATCACTCGCCTTTATTTTTATGGCGATGAAATTGTTTTTCACGCGATTTGACGCTGAACAGAATATTCTCGATAATAAGTAATTGCGAAAAATTAAAAAGAATATACAGTAGTCCACATCTGAACGTATTCAAATTCAAAATAATGGAAAAAAAGGTATCTTAAAATATAACTGATAAGAAATAAGTATTTTCAAAATAAAGATATCACATTCACAATCATCTTTGCATGGAAAATGTTACCCTTATACCAGCAAAGAATGACGGACTACTCTTAGTTCTACATGCGATTCCATCTTCCTTATATTTCGCTCCAACAAGGCAAGAAATCTGAAAACAAAACAATGATGATGTATAAAACAAGTTAGAGAGAGAATAGAAAAAAAATTGAATTGAATAAACCGTGCTACATGTAAGTAAAGAAATATATAAAAAAATAAAAGTTAAAATAATTTTACCTACCAATGACCCGGACCTCTTCTGTTTATTAGATATATGTTTTGATGAGAGCAAGGCCTTGTCAAGTGAGTCGTATGCTAGTGTTTGGTTAAAGATAGCTTCATTCCCCTCATACCAAAAAATGTCATAATATAAAGTACGGTCCTGTAGAGGTGTAACGTTACAGTTCAGATTGAAACTTGGTGTGTATTGTGTCATTGTTCCCTGGACATCTTCATCCCAGGATACACTGTGGTAGGAAACAAGGAGATTTGACGGGACAGCATCTACGCCTACATATATAAGATAATGTTTGATACTTACGATGTAACACTTATTAAAAAATTAATTTCATTTTTTTTTTAATTCATATTCCGAATAATGAATAAAAATGAAATACTTACATTTTTTACTCAATTCTAAAACGAAAATAAAGATAAAAATACATATCTTTTACATATACTGAATTGTTACATGAATGAGGGTAATATATTATTTATTGAGCCTGAAGCTAAAAATTATGCCCGAGGCTGCAGTCTAAGGGCACCATTTCTACCATTTAAAAAATTTACCGTAGTCATTTATTATTTATAATAACGAAATATTTTACATTAAATATATTTAATAATCTTTTTAATTTAAAAACTATTAAAGGATAAGAAATATGTAAGTTACATGTAAGTTGTTAGGTAGATTGATAATATGACTAATCAAATTATCCTCTCCTCTCCAAAATACCAAAAATATATACAATATTTATATAATAAAAAAATATATAAAAAGATTTCACACTTAAAAATTTAAGACTCTTATGTTCAATTAAACATAATATATACTGTATACATTGTTTGTTTAATTTATAAATACATTCGTTCATTTGTTTGTAAGAATTCAGTTGGGAAAGAGGGATACTGGTTATATTTTATTCCCTTCACAAATCTATCAAAGCATTCTTTTTTATGCTCAATTACAGAATGCGAGATTTAAAAGAACCATACAAAAAGTTTTGTAAATGTGACTGCTACAAATTCCGCGAAATATAACGACATTGAGCAAAGGTTTTAAAATTTTGCATGATGGAAAACTTTCACAGCTATACAGGTAGGTATGATCACATACATACCATCTTTCAATTTTGTTCTATTTTCACTTTAAAGAAATATTCATTAAAAGTTAAGAACTTACGAAAACAATAAGCTGAAGCACATAAACCTAACGGCCCCAGTTGATAAACGATGAAAGTCTCGCAGTTTTTCACCTTGATGTTATAAGTCTCGGAGCAGTTACTTCTAAAACCCACTTTACATGCTGGAATTTCTTTTATTTCTCCTGGAGTTGGTAGTTTACCTTGATGGAAAAAAACTAAATAGAAAACAATTCTCGTCGCAATAATTCTAACACCCTTTTAATGCCACCAACAAATTTTGCTGGAACGTATAATTTACATGTATGACTTTTTAAAATTATATTTATAAAAATAAAACAACTCGTGCATATGTTAAACAGGTGTTTACCTGGTGTTCCATATTGCTAATCTGACTGGCTATTAACCTATTAACAAATACGTTAATGAAACAAGAATATCATTAGTCTCGGTGTAAGTTAATATTTTTATTTGTAAATAATATGGTCGAAACTAGTACCTTGTCAACAAATACAGTGTATCATTCAATTGAATGTTGTCTGGTATTTTTCTTACAAATTGTTTAGCCATTACTTTCAATGTACTATCATCCTATTTTTCTCAGAATGCTCGAATATTACAAGATGTATACGGCGGCTGTGAACAGTCTCCACCACTATATCTGTTCCCATTTTTAATGTTTGCAGAGGAAAGTGTTTGCTTAGCTTTACACCTTTATTATTTTGATAACTTTTCAGCTTGATTACAGTTCATTATTATTTTCGTTTTTCAGGAAAACTTATTCCATCAGTTCTCAAATGAAACATGCTAACAATCAATCAAAGAAGCTCTTTCAAAAAAGACTGGCGTTTTCTTTCCTCCGCATTTTTGCCCTTAAATAGGTAACTTCTGTATTTGTCTCCTATGATTTGAATGCCTTTAAAGCCATCAATATATTTTGAAAAGAAAATGCACTAGCAAGAGAATATTTCATTTTTAATGTACATGTATATTGTAATGTAAATAATCTTTGATTTCAAACAAATACGAACTTCATTACACGCTTTCTACTATCTCAATAAAAGTGCCATTTCTAAACCAAATGTTCCAAATAAGTATTCTTAATTGATGTTCTATTAATTAACAATATCCGTTTTCATTCATTGAGGTTGAGTCAGTATCTTATTTAATTCGAAATACATGTAAGAGATTCTGCTAAAGCCGAATTTTTTTTTAAGAAAGTAATTTATACGTTTTGCATTCGCAAAATAAATCACTACGTGAAAATTTCAGAAAAAGGATTCCATACTGTAAAGCTAAAACCAAGTATACATTCTTCAACTTCTGGAATATTAACCCCAATGCAAATACTTTGCTGCTTTATTATGTACTTTTCCCTGCGCCTTTACATTCTCGCTCTTATAGAAGGGATCATGTTCTGTTTATATGCTACTTTGCGAATTTGATAGATCTTCAAATATTAATTTACACTATAAAATAATTAAGGAACTACTGTCTAGTTTGTTTGATATATAAGTAAATCATAGATTGCTGCAAACGAGGGTAAATTATCCTAATCGGATATGTACGTATTAAACTACTTAATTGCTGCCTTTGGCATGAAACATATGATATAACGAACAGTCTTCAAGATCGAAAGTCAAACAACAATAAAATATAGGAGCAGAGCAAACACGGGCCTCCAAAACATCAAAGTTGGGATCAGGTGCCATGGAGGAGTGAGCATCCCCTGCCAACCGGGCACACCCGCCGTGTATCCAACTAAATATTATCACTTCATTGTGCTGTATTGTATTTCATAATGATTCCTTTAAATTCAGAAATATATTAGGAAAACAATAGAAAAATAAAAGAACTGTCTAATAGAAATTTAAAATAAAGTTGATATATTGTATTTATTACTCTTGAAACAGACGAAGCTTTGCAAGATGTTTCCAGTAAAACATATTTGATTGATTAATTGTATATCGTTTAACGTCCCTCTCGAGATTTTTTCACTTATATGGAGACGCCACCACTTGCCGGTGGAGAGCTGCAAATTTTTTGTCCTATACTCGGCACTCATGGCCATTGAGCAAGGAGAGATCTTTTTCGTTCCGGCACCTACTGCGACAGGAGACCTCGGTTTATACGGTCTCAGCCGAATTCAAAGGACCTGTCTCCACGTCCCAAGTGGGATTCGAACCCGCGACGTAAGGCTTGACTCCTTACTTTGCGACTTTAGATCAGATGCTCTAACCACTGCGCGACACGGGAGACAAAAAACAAATATGAAAATGAATGTTAACAAATTTGTTAAATAAATGCATTATTTTGCGACACTTACCGTTTAACCAGACGGGATAAAGAGTACCACATGTGCCAAGGGAAGGCGGAGAAGTTGGCATGGTATAATGTTCTGCTCCATACCACCCTGAAGAAAGATAGTTGTCACAAAGAGGTGCAGCATTCATTGTAAACAATGGACTTCTTTTTGGTAGATCTCTAATGGTACGGTAGAATTTATCAGAGCAGGGGTCTGGCTCATCTAAAGAAATCAGAAATAAGTTTGTAATGTACCTTCTCGTATTAAATATAAACATGAATAAAAAGAACGATACATGTATAATGCTCACATACATGTATCTTCAGTTACTTTTTATTCTATAAAGGACATTTTCCCACTTTAACTTTCAATGATTGATTTAAAAACGATATTGTGGCTTTATTTATTTTTATGTCTAGGATTACGTAATCAGAAAATTTTGAATTTAATTAAAACACAATTGGACTTTGTCGGATAATTTTTTTTGTTGAATATTTTGCTAATATTGAATGTTGACAAAAAATTGTGATGAGGAACATATGTAGTGAACTGTTAAGTGTATACAGAAAATTAAAATAATGCCAGCAGTGCCTATATTCACACTTGTGAAAATATATAATAAAATCCTGTCCTAATCGTGAAATAAATTCCATATTCAACCATAAAACATTGATTTCCTCTACATATAGGAAACACAATAATACACGCAGAAAAAGGATGACATATTTTCTTCTTCGTTACAATCGTCAAAGAGAGTAAACATTTTGAATATAGTTTATCACTCATTCGTTTGATCCCAATATTTCAGGTAGAGTGAAGAATTTCTCCTCTCGGTCATCACTTTTTGTGTATAAAACAATGAAACGAATCCTTAACAATACAAACTGGAGCAACCTATATAACATTCCTTTAACGATAACTCGTAAATCGGCACTTAGTTTGTAATTTTCACGTATGAGTTACCTGTCCTTCAAACATCACATTTTACATGTTAATTATGAATTATTAAACTTTTTAATGATTTGATTAAAGACATGTACATGTATAAAATAACCTTTTTTGAGAATATTTTGTTCCTCTATACCTATGATTTTTATACCATTTGACCCCTCTTTAGCCCTACTATACATAGATGTTGTATTTTAAGGTTCATAAACCCTCTGCTCACTCATATGAAATTTGTCTTTAATTTTTATGATTTTCCAAAAGAAATGTATATTCTGAATAAAATACAAACAATTATAGCATGGCTTGCGGGGCAAAATTTGACAAAAAAGGCACTTAAACCTAATAAATTTATAAAGGAATAATAGACATTTGTGTTACTAAGAGTTATCTCTCTTATCAGAGTATCAATGTACCTTAAATAATTTGTCAAGAAACCAACTGAGTTGTCATGGTTAAGTAAAAAATCTTAAACGGTTTATTTAAAAAAGAAACATACATTTGAACAATGCAATATTCCTTAGCAAGTTTATTACAAAAACTAGAGGTCTCTGTCGAGACTGTAGCTCTTCTGGATTGTACTTATAACAAAAGGAAGAGAAAAGCAGCAGTGAGACTTGAAACTTTGCAACAGCAATAAATAGCATAATGATCATTGATTTAGTCTCTTTCGGTGGAAGATTGCAGAAAGATTACAATTGTAAAAGAAACATTTGATTTTTTATTTTAATTAATTTAAGTTACCACGGCAACATCATTTATCTAAAGAATAACCAACAATAAAGAGAGGCTTATATCTCAGTGTAGTGTTCCTACATGCCAAACTATATCAAAATCAGACCAAAACTATATTAAGAGTACCATTTTGATTGTATTGAAAAATGTTTTCAGACTGGCAGACGGACGGACGACGGACGCCTAACTTTCGCATAAGCTCTTCTGGTCTATGATCAGTAGAGTTAAGAATACAACGAATTTTATTTCCGTCTCATTATCATGATGCTCTTAATTAGTGGTGAATAATTAGTGGCACATGTAATTGTTACATTTACCAGCACAACTAACTAAATGTATTTCGATATGTACATTAAGTTTACGAAAATTATCTCATTTCTAGTGTGATGTAACAGAAGAAGGAAGAGACTCTGATGCAGATATTTTAAGTTTATTTGCAAATCCACAACTAAAAAATACAGTACAGAAACCTTTGTTTAAGTGCCTCTGCATGTCTAAATATAGTATATCAGATTCAATGTAAGTCAATGTTTAAAGTCAACCATTTAGACATTTAAATTAGTATATAAAAACAATTATACTTGTTAAAGGAAATGCGATTTAAATGACAAGACAGTATTCCCTATTCAGGCACTTTGGACATTTTTTTGGGACAAAAAGTCACTTTTATTTTACATTGTGTTCGACAAGGAGCCTAAAAGCTCTAGAATAGAAGGACACAATCGTAAAGAAACATAAATTAAACGCTGATAATCAGATGCCTTCAACGGAACATTCAAGTTTCAGTTTCAGTTTTAAAACTTAAAGTGAATAGAGGGAAATATTAATGATAGACGCGTCTGCCGATAATACAAACTTAGTACAAAAAATATCAAATATGTTATGCAATTATAGATGACAATTTTTACGATGAAGTAGGCTATGACTGTTTTGTAGAACGGAAATTTAAGTCGATTGCATGTGATTTCATTAGATAAAATCTACATCGACATGTAATTTTAAACATAGAAACATAAGAATCTCAATGGAACTAAGAGGCTTTCAAGTTTAACTAATGAAACATCAACCAAATGCTAAATACATATCAATGTTCCGGTTAATATGATTTACATGTTTATATTTTGAAGTGCTTGTCAGAAAAGTTTTACTGTCTAGTATCTTTTAGTGTCTTTGTGATCTCGATGTAGACTTGATCTGTGGTTGGGTTAGAATTTTTGTCTTTCAGAGCTTACATTGGCTGCCATTTAGAGTAAATAAAACTTTGCTTTCAAAATATTGTATATAGCATGGCTATTTTTTTTCCAAATTATAGGTAGAATTTTTTTCTTGTTTTTTTTTAAATCTAGTTTTAAAACCCATAAAAATATTATTATAAAATTCAATAAAATATCAAAATAATTTAATATTTAAGAAAAGCCATTTATAGTAATAATAATAATAATAATAATAATAATAATAATAATAATAATAATAATAATAATAATAAATGATCGGCCTCTAGTCTCTGTTTTTGTTTCTGAAGTACAGGTCTGTGTAAACCTATTGCAAAAATTGGCATTTAGATCGAGGTGATTTGTGAAATTTTTCAGAATTTTATGATTTTCAACACAAAGTTTTTTCCCTTGTACTATGACCCATGTACATGTGTTGTATGTGAGATTTAAAATAATGATTCATGGTTACCACGAAATTGTAGGTATCAGAGCTTTGTAAGGAAAACTTGTACTTAAAATTACATTTATAGGAAAAGAAGTAATAGAACTACTAAGCTCTGTTTAGTCTGTAAACAAGCAAAGATTTTCAGGCAGTAAAAAGTAGAAAAAAGGTAAAGTAAATCTATTATTCAAGCTTAACTGTCCATAAATCAATACATAATATGAGGAAGGCAAACAGGGACACCCAACAATTCAGAGCTGGGATCAAGTAACATGGAGGACAAGTCCCACATTTTGTCTGCTCCTTCAGAGGGAAATAACGGTAAAATCTGTCGACAATTCAGTGTGTAAACAATGGCCAAATACTAAGTATGAAAAATGTCTTTAATCTTTTGAATCAATGATAAATTATTTTTTGCTGACAAGGTCATTGCATCAACAATAGAATCTACGAAATGATGATTTTGAACGACAGTGCTGATATTCTTGTATCATCAACTTGTTGTCTGTTAATAATTTATATGCAATTATTTTGTTTTAAATGTTTACATGTATGTATGTGACTGGAGAAGCCAAAGTGAAACCGCTAAATATATCCCCAATTCTATAGAAAATTTCTGAATTCTGAGAAATGTTAACCTCTGAAATCATATAACAGATATTGACTTATCTGAAATATTCACACACATATTTATAAAAAATGCAGAGGGTTCATCATTGCCAAACAATGTCATCAGGCAGTTTCAATTCTCTATATTATTTCCTCTATTTTCTATGTTGTTATGATCCAAAAAGAAGCTTTATTGATGTATTTATTGTATGTTTTAAACGTCCCTCTCGAGAATTTTTCACTCGTCTGTACACTCCACCATTTGCAGGTAGAGAGCTGCAAACTTTGTTCTGCACTCGACACTCAGTGCAATTGAGCATTGAGGAGTCATTTTCATACCCAGTATCTACTGCGACAAAACACCTTGGTTTATAGGGTCCGGGTTCAACATTACACAGTGCGACTGGAAAGATGTACAAATGAAAAGCGTAACAGAAACTACATGTAAAACCAATCAGACGGCATCACCCCGATGATATTTTACTGCTCAAAAAACTTAAAATAAAGTATGCTTGAAGATGGCATAAAGTCAGCTCATTCCTTCATTTGCAACTTATCAGGTCTACCTTAAGAAAAAACAGACAATCATTTCACTACAGAATTTCTCGTTTAAAAAATGTCTATACAGTAAATAGAGATTACATGGAAAGAAATATAGAAAAATGAAATTGATTCCATGTCCTGATTCTCTTGTACTAAGGAAAATCTTACTAAATGATTATTCTGAACAGAACCAAAAGATTTTTTAGCCTACGCGTATATTTTCCTTCGTCTGAATTCTGACCGAGGCCTTGTGTTTTTAGGGTTGCAATACATGATCGGAATTAAATACAGGAAGAATCTCTCAAAAGAGCAAATTAGGTAGTGTGTCTCATTTTTTGCCGTCTTTTAAATATTCGATGAATCAGGTTTATAGATCTATTGTTTATCTTCTATCGTTGTCATTCTATTTCTTAGGAATCGAAACTGATGATAAGATGTGGTTAATAATTCTTAACTTACTGCATTTTGTAGAAAAAGGAACACATACAATGAAGAGCCAATAAAGGATTTCCATTTCTGCTTTCTGCAATAAAAAGAATGTAAAGGGTAAATGTATAAACTATATATTTTTTCTCAATAGAATATATGTATTTAAGAATTCACCGAAAACTCACAAAGTCTATCCTTCCTATATTATATAACCAGTGGGATCTAATGATTATGTTTCAAATTTGCAAGGATATATACTTATAAAGTTATATCATCATCATAAGTTTTTTTTTCCCGCAAACGCACCCTAAATTTGACAAAAAGTAAAAAGGAGTTTGAATATAATCTATGATATAGTATCTGTTTTCGCAGATCACTATCCCCATTTTGGGTTTTAAAAATGGGTTATTATAATATCAAAGAAAAAATAGTAATTAACATAAATTTTATATATTCTTGAATTTGAAATAATTTTAATACCATAAAAATGGCGATTTTGTGCTTGAAATAATTCACTTTAGAATGTCATTGACGGGAAACAGTCTTGGGTTTCTCCCCTTTTTAGGTCACTTGAAAAACTCAGGTGACCTATTGCTATCTGTTTTCGTTCGTCTTCTCTACAACCACTGAACCAATTTCAACCAAATTTGGTATACATCATCTATTGGTAAGGGGAACAAAACTTTTGAATTTTATGGCCCCCGCCCTCCTGGAGCCTGAGGGGTGGAGCCAAAACAATTAGAATTATTGCAATCTTTAAAAATCCTCTTCTTGGACATCAAGCAGGCAAACTTGAATGTAATGATCTTTCAGTCTTCTACCAAAATTGTGAAAATTGTGAAATTCACAGCCCCAGGATCAGGGGTTATAGTGCCAGGGCAGGGTTATATAAATTACAATCCAAAATTTTTATGGCCCCAGTGTCAGGGGTTCTGGTGTTAGGTCGGGGCTCTATTGATCATAAAGTGAAAATACATTAATTCTTTAAAAATCTTTTCCTTTTCTCCTGGGTTTTATGCCCATGATCCAAGTATATATATTTATGAAGAAGATAAGTGAATCTAGCAAAATGGTTATTTTTATGCCCCCTGGGTCGGGGGGGGGGGGGGGGTACATAATCTGAAAATAAATTTATGTTTTCAAATCTGGGCTTTGGTATAAATCAACCATTTTATGATAAAATTTTATAAAATTTTGAAATATGTGGTCCCAGGGTCAGTGGTTCCTTTGAAGTGAGGTGTACTCCTTGAGTAGTGTGAGGTGTACAACTGGTTATAAAGTGGAAGTGCATTTTCTCTTTTTGTTACTCTGATCTACTTCTGGGTATTAAGTAAATAGACTAAGTATGGTAAGTTTATAACTATGATAAGCAGAAGTTTGTTCAAGTCATGAACGGGAAGAAGGGGTTGGATACGGTGGTACACAATTGAGGATCAAAGTTTTGCCTAGAAATATCAAGGAAATTTTTTCCCCAGGTACAGAAAATCCATGTTAAATCATATTGATATGGAGGCTTTCTCAGGTAGTACAAAGTCATACTGGTTGAAATGAGGGCTGGTAGTTTAGAAGTCTATATATGTAAACTTCTCCAAACTGAGGTGATTTCTGCTTGATTTCCTAGCCAATGTCCTCAGGTGAGCGATGTGGCCCATGGGTCCCTTGTTTAATTTGATAATCTTCAAATTGGAAAAAAAAACTTCAGTTTCATCTTAAAAGCCCTCTGATATGAAAGATACAACTTTAAGTCCAAAAATAATTGTATATTTTGATTTATACTGTAAAACGTTTTTCATAGTTAAAAACAGGGCCTTTGATTAAGAGATATAAAATAAATAATCTAAAGAAACTACATGTACATCTGTCTGTCATATACATTTAAAATATTCAAAACCAAACTGGAGATAACAAATTTTGATCAATCCATGCTGTTGATGATAAATTAATGAAAACGATAGGAAAAATGACGCGAAAAAAAACTCGACAAACAACCTTACCTGACTTCCATTGAATGACCTTCAGAATTAGGTATCTTCCTTTAAGTTGAATACTGTTCGTTATCTCTATATCCTTCTCTGAACGTACAATTATGACAAAAAAGCTTGTAGAACTAAATAAAGAATTGTTTGCTCAAACTGACGCAGAATTAGGTCATACAATACCGTAGAAATGAAGACCAAAACAGATACTCATTCACTCTAAAATAAGAGGACAGAACCCTTTGAAAGAATGGTTGTTACTCGAGAAGCAATCAATGAAATGATGAATGCAAGGATGTCAAAATAGTCACAGTCTTGATGTTTTTCCGTCTCAATCGTAGTGGAAAAAGGCATTTTAAAGATGATTTCATGGGGATATCAGATAATTAGATACAAACAGAAATATTTTTCCCTAACAAAATACTTTTTTTTCATTTGCTGATTGATTTTTTGATAACCAAACATTAAATACGTTATTGCAATCTTTAATAGGTTTAGGTATTTTAAAAGATTTGCTTCTTGGTACATGTATCAAAGGGTCTTAGTCAATTAGTCAATCATTTAACCCCTTTAGGACTTTTTACCGCTCATTATGTCAAATTGATTGAATTGCTTTATTGCTTTAGGTATTTCCATCCTCCTATGATGTCATAGGTTTTGCAACAATTTTTTTAATTAATTTAAATTCATGCCAAGTAGAATAATATTTTTACAAGATTGCTTTTCAATAGGTGTAATGATAACTATTGTTAGTAAAAGTTATTTTAAAATGATGATTCCTTTTTTTAATCAATTATTCATTCTTTAAAAAATGTTGATACATGTAAGGCCAATAATTCCTTCTCTGCCATCTATCTTCATTCAGGCATTTTCTTTATTGTACTTCTTATGTTAAATGATTTCCCTCCTATTTACAATTAAAAACTATCTTAGAAGTAGCAGTAATATCGGACCTTTCAGCATCAGAATTATACATTTGAACCAGTTTTTACATAATTTTTATCATAATATTAACCAAAAAATGTACAAATTATTATGCTGACATATACTTGTGTTTATATATTCTCTTATCCAAAAAATATGGCGATCTATACATTTTTTTTGCAATAATTCATAAATTTAAACTATATTAAAAGAAAATAAATGCAGTTTTCGTACTTTGAACCATTTAAACTGTAAGGTTGGATAAACCTTAAGCATACTTATAGTTAGATAAAGATACACATTTTATGAAATTTAAACTTACCAGGAATTACGTTTTCCTTATTATTAGCACACTCAATTAATTTATCTTTTTATGCCATTTTATTTAAAGATCTGGAGTTTCGTATATTCTTTCTGCCCTGTTTGACAGTCTGTTTGTCTGTTTAACTGTTTCGTCTGCTTATCCGCCAAAATTTTATCCTTGATCATAACGTCTGAGTTGGTTGGGCTAAGCAGCTAGGATAAGGCTGCCCTTAAAATATCAAACTGTTCAAACTGTACTAACTTTTCTGAAGTACTTAGATATGACGTCATAATAGAATATGACGTCAAGTCACTTCATACTTGAGCTAACATGACGGGGAGAGTGTCATAATTATTACACGGCATGTAGATTTATTATGGGGACTTGTGTTTAATTCAAGAGTACGGGTTGTTTTTTAAGCTCGTGTGTGCTGTTATAATGTTTAACAATTGATATTTAAATATCTCTATTCCTTTTGCTTGTCCGATATGCAGGTATTAATAGTAATAATAATAATAATAATAATAATAATATATTCAAGCAATAGCAAAAAATTATGTTTGAAATGCTCCCCTTACATTTCCGTAGACAGAGTTAGAATTTTTATGAATCGTGTTTATATTTGACTGGCACAAGTGAAAGACAAGGATAAATTGAAGATAATTATTATTCTGCATAAATCTAAAAGAGAAGTATGCCCCCTAAGTGAATTTAGCTTGGGTATCGTATGTAGTTTATCCATTTTGGTATAAATCGCGATAAAGAGTGGAAAATACCCCTTTTTATGTTGGTAATTTTAGTTTATCGTAAAATATTTTCTTAAGAAGTAAAAATTAAACCTGCCCACAGCACTTTTCATTTACCAGGGATCCCAATGAATTTATCAACGTAACAAACTTTGCACAATAATTTTGTTTTGCACTTGTGCCGAATCGATTTTTGTGCAGCATTTAAGAATATCAAAAATGCCCGTCACGTGATCAACACAGTCACCTGACATCACAGAAATGCTAAATATTATAAGACCTGATTAAACTGATATCTCAAATTGACTGCAATTTCAAACAAGGATCACATATTGAATTTAAAACCTAGCTCAAAATAAAATGTATATTTTTAAGACATTTTAAGCCTTCGGACAGCCTTATCATAACTGCGTATTGCATTAATAATTTGCATTTGTGTATGTCTTATGATAAAATATTTCTTTTGGATAAAAGCAATATTTACCAAGTAATCTTGACCTTGGAGTTTGATCATTTTTTTTTACAAAAAAATATAACACTTTAACCTTGGCCATAACTTTATAACAATCAGTTATAGCTATGACTTTCATACATCACATATGATGTCATTGTGACACTATCTTCCAAAGGGCATAAATGATTTTGAAGTTTTGACCTTGACCTTAAAGTAATACCCACTTTTAACAAAAATTAACCTTTAACCTAGCACTAGGGATTTCATTTTTTCGTCGGTGTATTCTATGTGAAAAGTCTTTTCTTCAGATACCAACAATTAAACATGTTTTACTCATGAAAATAAATTACAATAATCCGTATATATTATATAAAAAGAGACAAATCACCGAAGCAAATAGAATTAACATTAATTATGTGTAGGAATTACAATTGTAAATGGAAGAGTATTTGTCATCATAATCAATATTTCTTAAAATTACAAAATGATGCTTTCGTTACTGTACATATATAATAATAAAGAAAAACAGAGAATAATAAAGAGTGTAAATTATTAAAACTCAGATTCACCTTATCTCTTATACGTCATCTGATTAACATTATGACTAAGACTAAAACCTAAACGTAAATCCTGCAGGCAAATCAATACGGTTTTTTTTTTGTTGACCCAGAAATACACTACTGCTTTTCATATAAATAAACATTCATAACAGACTTAAAAATGGTAATCTTTTTTTCCTAGATATATTTGACATACCTCAAGAAAAGCCACCAACCTCGCTAAACATTTTGCACCACATACATAAATTATGGATATGTACACAGTAACCAGTAAATCGAAAGTACGTGAAATTACAACTCGAAACGTTTCGTCAAAGCTTCCGGAATTCTTAAAAAATCAGCATTTTCTCAATAATTTATATACAAATAAGTTAACTGATAATGTTTGCTATGTAGAGTGGGAAAATCTGAACACATGACGCAGGAAACAAAATAGAGTCTAATATCTACAAATAACATCCAAACAGAGACTTAAATTTTAGCATAATGTTCCACGTATCACTACTCAAAATCAGTAAAACTATTATTTTATCCAATTGTTTCGAATTATGAACGTTTCTGTCATGTATGCTTCAAAAATTTGACCACAAAAAATTTAACATTGGCAATAACTTTTATGTCAGTGGGGCATGCCTTGCATGTTTGATTTGTAATCTATGTTGCAAGAACATTCTTAGATTGATTGATTGATTGATTGTAAACTGTTTAACGTCCCTCTCTAGAATATTTCACTGATATGGAGACGTCACCATTGCCAGTGAAGGGCTGCAAATTTAGGCCTATGCTCGGCACTTACGGTTTTTGAGCAGGGAGGGATCTTCATCGTGCCACACCAGCTGTGACACGGGGTCTCGGTTTATAGGTCTTATCCGAAGGACCGCCCCATTTAGTTGCCTTTTACGACAAGCAAGGGGGTACTGAGGACCTACTCTAACCCGGTTCCCTACGGGGCCGAAGAAGAACCAATAAATTAAACATTTGGATCTTGACATTTGAATTTGACAAACTTTAACCTTGACAATATATTTTTAACAATCGGTGCTACTACTTTCATATTTCACAATTGTATTCATTGTTTGAAGGCCATTATCGGGTATACAATTTTTTAGTCTTTTAACCTTTACCTTGAAGTTTTACATTTTTTTTTAAAATCTACACAATCATAACTTTCAAAAAGTTTGAACAAAGGCTTTCATTTGTTTATTCTTTGTTAAAACGCCTTCTTTTTGAAAGCGACCGATTTGATTTTTTTTACTTTGACTTTTAATTTCGACTAGCATTTAAAAAACTTTAACTCTCGTTATTATTGTTGGCATACGTGGGCACAAATTCTTTACGAGTTCACTTAAACAACTTTTTACATAAAATTGTTTAACCTTAATTCAGTTTAATCTTAACTTATAGTATTATCTTAAACTTAATAGTTTAAAAAATAATATGCAGTTTATTACTACTTATAATGCGTACAAAATTTAAATAACCTTGATTGCACTAGGCTTCTTTTCCTCCAAATTCCTCATGACGTGGTAGTATTTTTGATATCTAAAACAAAATGTTTTATGGAGAACGTAAACATATTTCGTCGGTCAAAGAAAGAGAAAAAGAGTTATATAGTTTACCTAGAAAAAAAACATTCCTTTATGTATATTACGAAAAACGGATTTGAACATTATCTGTTTCCTTTTGGAAAATGGAGTTAAAATATATAATGTCCCAATTTTAAAAAATAATAATGAATTAGGCCTTGGTAATTCTAAATGGTTTTTTTTGGCTTCTCAATATGACATAATAAAACATTCATGTAAAATTACGTTTGTCTGAATTCTATTCCCACATTATTACGATTTATTTATGATAAGTTAAGTCAATGATCTGCTGTTTCAGCAACAATGTTCAAAGTAATCATTGCACTTGTTCAGAATTAGGTCTGCTGGGCTGTGATATAATTTTTAATTATCAAAGGTAAGTACATGTATATAATTATGTGTTAAAACAGAAATTAAAAAACGCTAATTTACTTTTTGTATTGCTTTTTTTTTGTTTATTCAATAATTTTTATCAACAATTAGCAATTTTCAGTCATTGTGGTAAAACTTATGCAAATTTAGGTCACCTAACAAACATTTAAACTATTCGCTGTATGACTGACTGCAGGGAATTTAAAATCAAAGTTACACACATTCAACAAAAACAGTTGAAGTGGTTCATGCTTTCCAGACGCTGTGTCCTTGAAAGATAAAGTGCATTAATTAAATGTTTTCGAGCTGAATGCATGTGACGGTATCATATTTTACAAGTAAATTAGATAAATGTTGCCGAACATTCTGTGTACTTTGAAGACACTTTATAACAAAAGAATTTTTTTTTATAAATTAAAATAGTAAATAGTTTTTCAAATTTATATGGTCCAAGGAAATTTTTGACGTGTTAAGATCAAATTAAATGTGTTATATATAAAATGACCATTATTTGTGTATGTAAATATGTTTGTAGAAGTTTTTTTATGAATGAAAGAAATTTAACAAAAATGGAGAAAACTAGAGCAAAGCTCGTTGCAAAGCAACGAGAAGGTCTTCCGTCCTGTTTTGACCGGAAGTGACGTCAGCAAAAAGAAAGCCATGAGCTTAGTCGTCTCCAGTCACTTTATAATTTCAATTTTGCATGAAAACCTTAAAAATAAGCTATTTTTGGCTACTTCCGGTTTGACCGGAAGTGATGTCGATGGACGGAAAATTAAGTTTTGTGCTTCCTGTGATATATGTTACCCAAAACTTGTCAAGAACAGCAAAAATATGCATTTTCTGACTATTTCCGGTTTGACCGGAAGTGACGTCGCCGAACGCATTTTGACGACTTCATTAGATTAAGCTTGACATTTTGAACAACATTGCTTCTTGGATGTATTACAAATTCTCAATACTTTTTGAGATATCTGGAAAACACTTTTGGCCCCTCTAGATCCCTTAATTTAGGGGTCAGCCCTTTCTCCGAGATATCATTTAAAAGATCTTGTAATTCTGCACAAATTTTGTTTTATATGATTTAACAAAACATTTTTAGTTTAGAAGATAAAAAGCAAAATATGTGTAAATTTTCGCTCTTTTAGGCGTTCTAATTTTTGACCCCTTTATAGCATCATTTTGAATAGAGAAATCGAAAAACAAAAACCACTATGCACAACTTCAATCCTTCTATTATCTAAAATCAGTGGAATTTTTGCTCCAGCTTTAGCCGTCTCTGAGCCTTTGTCTGGAAACGAAAGCCAATAAATTTTCGTTTAAAGGGAAATAACTCAAAACCGGAAGTGACTTTTTGAAATTTTAGATAGCATTCTGATAGAGTTTAGTAACGTCTATCAACTCTGAAAATTTGAGCGAAATCTATTGAGAAATGAGTGAAATATGAGGCCTCAAAGTTGGTGTCTAGGAAAAGGAAAAAAAAGAATAATAAGAATAATCTTAATCATCAGAATCAGTAGAAGGTCTTCCGTTGGAAACGGAAGACCTTAAAAAATCTTTACTTTTATAAAATTTGATAATTCAACTCAAATACAGTGAATTTTTGAAATAGATAGTATAGAAAATTAAGACTTAATTTTCCTTAAAATTACCTAAAATGTGCCATATGAAACAAAATGCCTACAAAATGCTTAAAATTCATCCTTATGCTGTGAATGCCGATATCTGACTGGTACTGGAATTTGTACATTGACATTTTAAAACAAAATGTAGAATTACAGGGCTCATCTTACACTATTATATTGTGTCTGTACATCTGTTTCCTATTTAGACTTTATACGAAAAAAGACATTGATGGTAAGCTAACAACAACATTTTTTGTTGAACGTGGTGACTTAAACTTTCAAACTTCATTTGTTCATGTAGAAATACCATTTTCATTTGTATATGGATTACAAGTCATTCAGGTAACTTGATTTGCAAGGGCGTATTCTTTACGTAGAAACAATATCTGAAACTAAGCAAGCTATAAACAAAGGATATAACAAGGATATCAAGAGTTTTGTTTAGGGTTAACATTTAGCAAATTATTTGGTCAATACATTGAATTTGTCCGCAGTTTAGTTTATTATTTAATCGACATTTGAAAGATTTTTCATTCATCTTGTTTAGTCCTGTTACAATATCACTGATTTGCTTAGAATTTTTCAATTTACCCAATGACGAGTACATGACAGTTACAGAAATGTCTGTTCTACTTGTACATTGATGGTCAATCCTCCATGAATCTTTAGAGGTCTTTAATTCATCTCTTCCCTTCTTGAATTGTTTCAACCATTGTTTGATTGTTATTCAAAATATATATATATATGCTGCCTAGTACGTACTTAATATCAGAGAAAGTTCGGATTAAACCGTACAACCATGTAAATAATCACTACGACAAGGGGCCCGTTTTACAAAAGGACTTACGACTAAAGACCAAGTGTAATTCTTTGTATAAATTTTTTAACTAAAATTGTATCGAATTATTTTTTTTAACTTTTAAAAAGGAATGTGGTAAGATATTTTTACAATTTCAAAGAGACTTATTAATTTTCAAAATTTTACAATCCTCTGAAATTTTTGGTCTAAGTCGTTCTTTTGTAAAACGAGCACCTGATATCTATCTTTAATTGTTCCAATTAGATGTAGTCGCCCGTATTTTACAGTGGTTAGAGCATCCTGCACTACAGTCGAAAAGTAAGGAGGCAATCCTTACGTCGCGGGTTCGAATTCCATCATAGGACGTTGAGACCGGTACTTCGGATGAGACCGTATATACCGAGGTCCCGTGTCACAGTAGGTGTTGGCACGAACAAATATCTCTTACTGCTCAATATATGGTCCTGAGAGCCGAGTATAGGACAAAATATGAAGCTCTCCACCGGCAAGTGGTGGCGTCTTTTAGGTTGGAAGTATGACGTTATTAATTTGGTTCATTTCTAAGTTTAATGCAGAAAAGCCTCAAAATGACTCATTTCTGTGCAAATTTTCCTTTAGAAAATTGTGTCTGCCACGGTTGCCCACTTTAATTTTTGGATATATTATGTAAACTCCAATGAAAAATCACATATCTCAAAAATTTTCTGGGCGACGGTGGTAGAGTATGTTTTCTTGAAGAAAATTCCCCTGAAAATTGATGTCTTCTGCAACTTTTTACCAAAAAACGGGAAAATGCACAAGTTAATGACGTCACAATTAGCAGTAAGGAAGTCGTATGAGAAAAACGATTTGTATATTCTTACTGCAGGGAATTTCTATG